CGCCTCCCCCGCCCCCCCCCCCCCCCCCCCCCCCCCCCCCCCCCCCGCCCCCCCCCCCCCCCCCCGCGCCCGCCCCCCCCGGAAATCGGAGAATTGATGATTTGTCGAGAAGTGTGGTTTGGGTAACACAGCAAGGGCTCAAAGAATCTGAGCTGACATGACTTTGCCTTCCAATAGGTTAGGTTATGTTAGCAACATTATGTTTGCAGTGTTTGCAGTAATACCTTAGGTACCTACCTCCTAAGGTACCTACCTAGGAAAAATGTATTTTGCATTAATAAGCTTAATTTAGGGCCATTCGTGCTCTTTGTGTTGTGCTCTGCGTCGCGTGACACGGCAGCAACTACCCAAGACCCAAGACTTACATAGCATAGCATATACCTAACCTATTGGGAAACCGGAAGGAACGTATGTAGGTTTAGAGCAAGAGAGCTTAGCTTAACTTAACTAGCTTCGCTTCGAGTTGCACTTGGAGAATTTCCACCTACAACTTCGAATGGGTCGAATTGGTCGAATGACCCCTTAGGCCTTAGGGGGGAGGCCAAGGAAGAAAGGAATTTTTAATATTCTTTTGCTTCCCCGAACACGGGGGTAGGGTAGGGCATTGCGCGACACGGCCGCCGAGGTTCTCCTACGTATGTGCGACCACGGCCGGACCACCATCGACCGTACGCGATACCTAGCTAGGTAGGTATATGTATAAGTCAAGTAAGTACCCAGACCTAACCTAACCTAACCTACTTACCCGGCCTACCTAAAGGTTAGATCAGGTATGATGTGTGTTGTATGTACAATGCATCTTCCTAATTTCCGCGGTACAGGGGGTATAATATTCGAATAGGTACCTCATGGAGGGCCAGCGAGGAAACAGAATAAAAAATAAAAACAAGAAAAGAAGAATAAGGAAAGTGGAAGAGTCAAAGCGGTCGAGTTGGGATAGGAAAATACCCGCGCGCCAGACGGCTAAGTCGTCGGGTTGCGTGTGATTCGCGCCCACACGCGCTCCAGCCGCTGGTCTAGTCCGGCGATGCAACGACATCCTACCGCCATCCCCCACGGAGGGGAGGGAAAGTAGGGTTGCCTGCCTAGGTTCGAATTTTCTTCTCATCGCGCATCGCGTCCCGTTTCAAAACGGTCATGCAATTGCTGACGACGCAGATACGCATCTCCGTCCCGAGAATAGAACAGGGAAAAACAATATTACTGCTGACAACAACCATGATAAACCTCATTCAGGCCATATCCTTCTCGAATTCGGTATTCGTTGTTACCTCCTGCTATTATTAGCGCGTCACTGCGAGAAGCATTGACAAAGGCGGGAAATACTGTGGAAACGGAGTGGTATCGCTCCCCATGCTGCAGTCGTCGGCTCTTTGCTCACACTCACATGGATCACGTACGGCATAGAAACTATAGTCTAGGGAACTTGACCTTGACAAAGGGTAAAGGTAAGATGAAAACTGGGGTGAGACATATCCATTGTGGATCGCGAGGTCGTAAGTTCTGAAACCTAACTCATAGGACCGGCTCACGCTTACTAGCACGCCGACGATAGTGGCATATAGCAAGACAATTAAGCTTAAGCTAACATTGATAGAACATAAACACAAACACCAGATACTAGCCCGGGGACGCATCTCTTGCCTTCCCCCGGCCACAGCTAGCCATTTAATATCTTTGAGTCCGAAGATGGACGTCTCCACTGAAGAGGAATAGACCACAACGCCTACAGTGCCGATGGTTAATCCCATCCACCCACCCAATGTATCTGCACTGAGACGCACTAATCAAGTCCCGCTAAATGGGGAAGCATTTCTGAGGCTAGGTAGCCACCGGAATACCTACAACCCGTCACCTTATGTGGGAAAACCCCCCAAAGCGGAGGGGGGGGGAGGGGGGCGGGGCGGGGGCACATCGCGATTGGGAACATTCCAAATCTTGTGAATCCTCCAGCTCTCTGACTACATGCATACATCATATGCAGAGATTGGTCGTCTGTTTTGGTGTCTGTTTATTGACATATCCTTCCAAAATATAGCCGCTGCCGCCGCTGCCGTAGCATCATTGACAATGAAATGCATGATGACTCGCAGTAGCGGCCCTACCATGAGAAAAATACTGCTTAGGAGATAGCGCGTCGCTGATCTAGACTTGTTTCGGAGACAGCTGAGCTGACTGCCTTCGATCCTACACCGATTACTTTATTGCATTCAAAACCCAACCACGCTTTCTGCCTCCAATTAGGCAGAGGTCTTACCTGGTCGGGACGGAAACAATGCGGCTTGTCAGCAAAGTCGCCCAAATCTCGCTCGCGATCTTAGCCTATCTAGATATATGTATGTACATGTATGTATGTGTGTGTGTATGTACATGTGTATCGACTGCGAGATGCAATCCACATACCTACATACAGAAGAAGGTAGTATTTCCTCTTTTTTTTCGACGCACATGCGCTGCGGTGAAGTGGAGGACTTAGCTACCCTGAACTTGGTAGATTAGCTCACGACCACAACTTTCACCGAGGAAAGTCGAAAATCGCGTCTTGGTCTCGGCACAGCCGGGTTCTTTTCGGGCGTGCAGGCCAAATAACAGCACCAACATATGTAGGAGGGCGCCTCCTCCTCACTCCCCATTGTTACTGTTACCTAGCGTCGAAATCTTCGCGGTGGTTGGCCGGCCGTCCCTCTCCCGGACTGGACGCGACGCGGCCGTATAGGCGGCCTGCCTCCTCTTTCCCTTTCTTATATACCCCTATATACTGCCTTGTACCTACGTATACATTCACGTATCATATATGCATAGGTACACTCTTATACATATATGTACGAACATAGCAAAAAAACAAGAACCCACGCAGCGTCCCAGATGCGCAGGTCGTTAGCTCAGCGGGTCCTTCGTTTTCCCATTCGACGGTACTCCGCGGCAGATTAGGGGGAAGCAGAAAAAAAACCTGGGCACGAACATGGAGGCCAAGCTTTTCGCGGCTTAGTATCTATGTCAGATTAATATCTATGAAACACCGCGTGCATGGCACCGATGCGACGGTACTTACACGATCCTATATATCTGAATGTAGATATGTATGTCTGCATGTCCGCCTGCCCAACGCTTCGGTGTTGGGGTGTTATACCTTAGGTGGGTAGGTAGCTAGCTACCTGGTAGCTTTACCGGCTCGGCCATCCTCGACCCGAGGCGATGTGGGCAGGTATTGGCAGGTTAACTAATAGAGTAAACAAAACAGGTCTACATATACGCATGCCGCGCTACGGGAGTAGGGTGTCTAGCATCCGATCGGAGGGTTTGTGGGCGAATAGCATAGCGCGAAACTCGTGACTGGCCCGGGAATGATTCCAGCCCACAATACGCCGCAGCGTAGTCCTACCAATGACTAGTCTGCATGCAAAGAGGCTCAACGGGTTCATCCTTGATCTTCTGTTAAAGGTCTCTGCTATAGCATAAAGAGGCAGATGATCTAACCTGAGGGCTGCACATTACACGCGAAACAACACAGCACAGCACAGGAGCTTTCGCCCGACGAATAATGTATCATACTCCAGTCTCCCTTCGTCCACTCCCCCCACCGAGACTGTGAAGTCGATCGGGTGGAAGGATAGATGGGGGTCTGCTCTGACCTATTCCCCACGAACATCACATCAGGCTAGACCGGCTATGTTATCTCCGGAAGAGCTCCGCTGACTTAGCTTGGCGATCTTTACGCATTCCTGCCTATTCGGGAAGGGGCACGTGTTTCTGGATCGGGACGCGTTGAGCATCGTGACCACACGTTATGCCACGACGATCCAGGAGCATGGCGGGGCAAGCTACTCACGCCTGAATGGACATGTAAGTATCTAAGGTTAGCTTGTTTCTACTTGCGAGAGCGGGAGCGATGGGATTGGTTTCGAGAAGAGTATATGAATTTATGCGAGGACGGGAAGGGTAGATGGGAGTAGGAATCGGATCCTGATGCCCATCTGTGCCACGCGACGGCGGGGGTTCTCAGACAACGTTATTGCGATCCTTCTGGGCGCCGGCGTCGCGAATGGGACCAGATGGAGTCACTTAGGGCGAGAACATGTTGGTAACTTCTGCTATGGAGTTTTGTGGCGTGTTGATTCGTTGTTCTTGAGGGGGGCTAGGGATTGGCTCATTTTAGCTCTTTTTTTGGCGGCTTTGATGTTGGCATCCTCTTGTTGAATTACGTTTCCACTGGTTTTGGAGGGCAGTACAGTTGAGGGGAGATGACTTGTTACAAGTTTTTGGGTCGAAATGCTGGGATGCATCAGACAAGAGTTTGGTACCCACGTCGTTGTAGGACTTAGATGAGGCCTCGCGGATTGTTTATGCCTTACAACTCACTACTCGAATCATATGATATTACTATGAGAAGAGGCTTCTCGGTGGAGTGTGTTACAAAATCTTGATACTATCTCAGACATCAAATTTCGTACTGGCTACCTACCTAGGTACCTAAGCTAGCATGTAAATGTTTCTAGGGGAGAAAATCACACGATTTTCAGGTACTCTTCAGGTTCCTTATGGTGGAACTGTTTCCCCTTTGCACAGCCTCGTCTTATCGACACGATTAACATACGATTGCTTGCTTGCTTGCTTGCTTTATATCTATTGCGGCTCAGTTCAATCTTGAATCACATGCTTCTCCGACGGAACGCCTGCTTTCCACCTGTACGACGAAGCAACATGCTCGTCGAGAGGGCCGCTCTGCCCCGGCTTCTGGTAGAAGTTCTCCCTGTACGTCCCGCCGGGCACCGCGTAGTCGTCCCAGAACAAGCCCCGGCGCCGTAGCTCGGGAAGCAGAAGCTCGATGATGTCCTTGAAGGATTGGGGGAATAGCGCATAAGCCTGTGTAATTCATGCTATGAGCGAAATCCAAGTGTTGTTTTTTTATTTTATTTTTTGGTAAACTATAGGTACCTAGGTAGGTAGATATCAATTAGGGGGACCACTTACGAAGTTGAAACCGTCGACGTCGGCCTCGTTGACCCAGGTCTCTAGCCCGTCGGCTACTTGCGACGGCGTGCCGACGAGGACGGGCCCGTTGCCGCCGATGGCGACGTGCTCCGCTATCGTGTGCTTGGTCCACTTTGCGGTCTTAGGCAAGAATCGGGCGAAGCCTTCGACGGTAGATCTAGACTTCCTGTATTAGATAGGTACCTACCTAACTTAAACTGACTAATATGAGAGTTAAAAAAAAGGGGGGGGGCGGGAGGGAGGGAGATGGAAAAGGGGAGTTTTTCTCCCTCCTTGGGTGCATGCGCCATACCGCACAGCATTGCTCTCGACGTGTCTCAACTCTTCCTCGTCTCCGTACTTGTCCAGGTCAATGCCCGTCCACCCGCCGAACAGGGCGAGCGCCCCCTCGTGCGACGCGTATTTCCTGTAGTCGGCGAGCTTGGCCTGGGCCTCCTCCTCGGTGCGGCCCAGGACGGGGGTGACCAGCGCCAGGACCTTGATGTTCCGTGGGTCGCGGCCGTAGCGGGAGCGCGCGAGCTCGCGCACCTCGGCGACGTTGCGGGCGCACACCTCGGGCGCGTGCGCGGACAGGAAGATGGCCTCGGCGTGCTGCGCCGCGAACTGCTTCCCCGCCCGCGACGTGCCGGCCTGCAGGAGCAGCGGCGTGCGCTGCGGGCTCGGCTGGCAGATGTGCGGGCCCGGCACCGTGAAGTACGGCCCGCGGTGGTCGATCCGCCGCACCAGCTCCGGGCGCGTGTACACGCCCGACGCCCGGTCCAGCGTCACCGCGTCGTCCCGCCACGACGACTCCAGCAGCTTGTAGATCACCTTGACGTACTCCTCCGCTTGCGCGTAGCGCTCGTCGTGCTGTTTTTATGGGTAGGTAGGTGGTTAGAACAGTTTTCTTGTAAGAATATAAGAAGATTAAGTTTCAGATTACCCGCGGTAAGGTGGGTGGATGTATGTAGGTAGGTAGGTATGTATAAAACTTACTTTTGGTTGCTCCGTGAAGCCTAGGTTCCTCGCGGCTGAGTCGAGGTAGCTTGTGACGATCTATATACCCCCTATTTCAGCACGACGATGTCTAGTTTTAAATAAATGTGCGGATTTCAGGGGGGAAAGGGGGGAGGAGGGTGATCTTAGCTGACATTCCAACCTAACCTAAACTCCGTTAATCATTAACATCTACCTAATTACCGACATCGGGAGCATAAAGTGACGCGAAAACTGAAGGGGAGGCTAAAAAGCATACCGTCCTTTAGACAGATGATCAATCGTCGACAAGCGCCTGGCGAAGTGGTACGGCTGCTCGTACGTAGTCGAAGCCGTGACGCCGAACCCGATGCTCTCGGTGGCCGCCGCCATCGCGGCGATGACAGCGAACGGCTCGTTCGTCGGCCACTGCGCTCCCGAGATCTTCGAGGGATCCAGGGAGTTCCTATAGACGTCGTATCCTCCTATCGTTGGGGATCAGCATCTGCTAGATATATATACCTTAGGTAACCCAGTTTGCACGGGGTTGACAGGCCATGGGGTATTATTATTTTAGGGCTAGGTTAGGAGGTAACCTACCTAGGACGTCGGCGATGAATATCCCGTGGAATTTCCCCTTCTCGAGGAGCTTCGCCAGCTCGACCCAGTGCGATACCTCGTTGAAGCGCCACGACTCGTCGTCCGGGTGGCGCCATAGACCCGGCGATTGATGCCCGCTGGCTAAGATATAAGTAAGATAAGCCGGGTTGGACGTCACTTGAATAGATAGGTTGGTTGGTTAATTCGTTAATGGGACCTACTCATCATTACGAAGGCGTTAAGCACAAGGCTCTTCTTCGGCTTCGCGTCGCTGCTCATTGTGTCGCTTCCGTGTATCAGATACTGTACCTAAATCTAAATCTTACTCACGTACTTATCTAGTAGTAACTAATACGAAACCCGAAGATTTGTTTATTCACGAAGGATAAATCTAAGCTGGATCGTGATATATTACGCTTCTAGATGGCTAGCTACCTAAGATACCTAAGTTAAGTTAGGTTAAGCTATATCATGCTCTCCCCCTCCCCCTCCGTCTCCGAGAGCCGGCGGAGGTAACCTATCCACTCTTAAGCAAAGAACGCAATATCACGTTTTACAACGGGCATCCGGATCTGCTGCGCATGGGTTGCTTGTTCGTAGCTTTTTTTTTTCTTTTCTCCTTGCATTCCGAACGTTTAGGCTTGGCTGCGATCACGCAACGCGACGGAGTTGATCACGCAATTACGAACTTGGAGCGGGGTTTCTCCAAGCGATATATATGCCTTACCTTGGCTAGGTATGGTTACGCGCGATGAAGGACAGCGTCAAAAGTAGAGGGCGGGGCAGAGCTTAGGACGTTCCTATGAAAAAAAAAACAAGGTCTTTTCGTGTAGATCGGGAGGGTGAGGTAGTGCACCGAGCGGGAATGGGATGGATTGTATAGGGCTAGGCCGCCGTTTTCGCAATCTTCTTTCTACTAGGGAAATAAGCTTGGTAATTATTCTACAAAAAGACTAACTACATCGATGACCCTGACCCTGAGTGAGAGGTCTCGTGAATCTGCTTATTTGCCTTCATCTTTAGGGGGTTCCGCCTCCTGATAAGGCGGCTCCTCCTGGTATCTATCATATTTATACTGAGATCCGATATGATCATCCCTTAGCCCCTTCTGGCCCTTCCCGTAGATCCTCTCTCGAGCAGTTAGCGATTCTCCTTCCGCTGGGGGATCTGGGTAGATCCCGCGGCGTCTTAGCTCCGGGATCAACAGCTCGACCACGTCCTCGAACGTCCCAGGAGTAGTAACATAGCCGATATTAAAACCATCCAAATCCGCTTCTTCTATCCAGCGCTCCAGGTCATCGGCTACGGTCTGAGGCGACCCGATACCTACGGGACCAAGGCCCCCTATCGACGCCTTCTGGGCGATCACGCGCGGAGTCCACTTCGGGATGTCCCTGCTCGTGGTAGTAAACGCGTCTAGAATGCTGCGCACCTTATGCGCCTCCAGCGAGTCTGCGGCGGTGATCTCTTGGTCCAAAGGGATCTTTGACAGGTCGATTCCGGTCCAGCCACTAACGAGGACGAGGCCGCCGATGACAGAGCCGTACTTGAGAAGCTCGTCGTATTTCGCGTGCGCTTCCTCGTCGGTGGGCGCGACGATGGGCGTGTAAGTCGCAAAGAACTTGAGCGAGCGCGGATCTCGACCCTTCGAGGCAGCTAGCTCCCTGATCTTGGCGATCTTGGGCCTGAGGACGGACGGGGAGTGAGATGACACGAAAATTGCTTCCGCGTGAGTCGCCGCAAATTCGGAACCGGCGGGCGATGTCCCGGCTTGGAATAGCAGAGGAGTTCTCTGCGGTGACGGGTCGACTATGTGTTTTGTATTTAGCGTGAAGTACTTCCCCTTATGATTGATGGTGCGAATCTTGTCCGGGTCGAAGTAGATATCGTTTTCTGGATCAGGAGAGATCGCATCGTCTGCCCAAGATCCTTCCCAGAGCCTATAAACCCTGTGAGCTTTACTGGGTCGCTGATACTTTTAAACTGCAATGGGAAACATACTTGTAGAGTACTTTCAAGTACTCATCGGCCTGCAGATACCGCTCATCGTGATCGATAGGCGTATCGAGGCCGATGGCTTTGAAGGCCGCCTTTTTCCAGGAAGTCACGATATTCCAACCGAATCGCCCACCGGTCAAGTGATCTAGCGTGGAAAAGCGCTTTGCCAATAGAAAAGGGGGCTCAAACGAAGTTGATGAGGTGATGGCGAAATTGAGATTCTTCGTCACCGCAGCCATTGCTGCAATTGGCTATAAACCAACACTTCCGTTTTAGCCCCTCTATGCTTAACTACCTCTAAGGTACACTTTAATGGTGATAGACCTACGATAGTGGGATCCGTTACGGGCCATTGTGCGGCTCTTCGGATACAGTTGTCGAGGCTCCCTTCGTAGGTATCGTAGCCTCCATAGGTATCTGCGAGAAACAAGGCGTTGAAGCCACCTCTGTCTAGCAATTTTGCTAAGTCTAACCAATAGTCAAGGTTACGCTTCGTAGCCGACTTGTCGACGGGATTCTGATGCATCGTTAGTTGTATACTTCGGCATGAGGAATACAGACGCTTACTTTCCATTGGCCCGGTGAAAGATGGCCAATGGTTGACATGTCAAATGCATTCAGTAAGATTTGCTTCTTACCCTCTGAAGAAGCCATTTTAAGTCTTTTCTTTGAACTATTGTGAATTATATAAGTACCTAGCTGGGTCTGTATATCATGTTCCGGAGGAGACATGGTCGCTATATATAGAATAGGCAGACTATAGGTAGATCATATTATATATTATTTACAACTTCGCATTATACATAATTCAACTGGCGATTCCTTCGCTCATACGTCAGATATCGTATTCCGGTATTTTGACCGATATTGACGTGACGATAAAAAGCTACCTAGGTAGTTTAAAGTTCTAGCCGCGAGCAAGATTGCCAACCCGGACGTCCTATCGCGGAGGTGCAAAGACGCGGGGGGTATTGCGTGCTTCGCCTACAGAAGAACGTGGTAGGTCGGTAACGCATCACTAGTCGGGTGATAACGCGTTTCAAGATAACTTCAGTCTCGCAGATATAAGATGTCGGTTTTGGCCGGTGGAATTAATAGAATAGACATTCACATTTGACTGGTTAGACTTTCATTCTTTTTTTTCTTTTTTTAGTATACGAGTTGTGGTCGAGTTACTTTGTCAATATGACTACCGAAGGCTTGGAGCAGACCATTCATGCGAATGGGCCGACGCTACCCTCATCTGAAAAAGCTAGCTCAGAAAAGCCAACTAATGGTGTGAAAGTATCAATTGCTGAGAACGTGGAAGAAAAGGTCGAACCGCTACTCAAGGAACCAAAGTTTGGCAGTTATCCTACACCAACCCTCAAGTTAGAACAACGCTACATCGACGATCCAAGACAGTTGAGGGTTGCCGTCGTCGGCGCAGGACTTTCCGGTGTGCTCGCTGGCATAATTCTTCCCCCGAAAGTTCCAAATTTGAAGTTGACTATATTCGAGAAAAATGCCGACGTGGTGAGTAACAATACCGATGCTCGGAATTAATAATAATTATATAATTTTCGCTAACTACCTAGCTATAGGGTGGCACATGGTTTGAGAACATATATCCAGGAGTCAGGTGTGATGTTCCAGCGCATGTATACCAGACCAGTTTCGCTCCAAACGTAAATTGGTCGGAGCAGTTCGCGCAGGGCCGCGAGATCAGGGACTACTGGCAGGGGCTTGCACGGAAGTACGACGTATACCAGTACTTGAAACTCTCCCAAAAAGTCGAGGAGCTGAGCTGGGATGAGAAAAAATCCGTATGGAACGTCAAAGTACACAATCTCACCACCGGGGAGACGTCCAGCGAGGAGTTTGACTACGTGTTAACTGCCATCGGTCGCTTCAACGCCTGGAAGCTACCCGACTATCCCGGCATAAACGATTTCAAGGGTCTTCTTCGACATGCCTCTAACTGGGATCCCAATTTCGATCCTAAGGGGAAACGAGTTGCAATCATCGGCAACGGTGCAAGCGGCATTCAGCTTACAGCCAATATTCAGAAGCATGTTAAGCACCTAGATCACTATGCCCGAAATAAGACATGGGTCACGGCATCATTCGCCGGCGATGAGACTTCCATCGAGCCGATCCCCATATCACCCGAACTTCGAGAGTCGTTCAAAGACCCCAACGAATACGTCAAGTGGAGGAAGGAGCTGGAATCCAAATACTGGCGGGGATTCTCAAGCTGGCTCAAGGGATCCGAGCTCAACGAAAAGTCCCGCGAAGAATTCGCGGAACTTATGAAGAAGCGCGTAGCCAGGAAACCTGAGCTTGTAGACAAAATCATCCCCGACTTCTCTCCCCACTGCCGACGACTCACTCCGGGACCCAACTACTTCGAGGCCATTACGGAAGACAACGTAGACTACATCCAGACGCCGATAAAGTGCTTCACGGAAACGGGCATCGAGACCGTCGACGGCGTGCACCGGGAGGTGGACGCGATATTCTGCGCGACCGGCGCGAACCGGGACATGGTGCCGCCGTTCAGCATCTGGGCGTACGGGAAGGACCTGTCGAAGCTGTGGGAGCAGGACGGAGAGTACGGGTTTCCCTACACGTACCTGGGGGCGGGGACTCCCGGGTTCCCGAACCTCGGGTTCATCCACGGGCCGCACGGGTCGGGGCGGTCGGGCACGGTGCCGCACAGCGTCGAGGTGCAGGTGACGTTCTACGCGAAGCTCCTGCGCAAGGTGGCGCGCGAAGGCATCCGGACGATCCAGCCGTCGAAAAGGGCCGCCGACGACTTCGTCCAGTACTCGGACGCCTTCTTCGCTACCACCGTGCTGTCCGAGAACTGCAGCTCCTGGTATAACAGCGGGAGGCCCGGGAGCAGGATACACGGGTTGTGGCCGGGAAGCGCGACCCAGGTGACCATCATCTACCGCGAGCCGCGGTGGGAGGACTGGGAGTACGAGTATCTCTCTGAGAGCGGGAACAGGCTCGCTTGGTACTTCGGCGTCGGGTCGACTCTGAAGGAGCAGGATCCTAACGTGGATATCGTGCCGTATATCAAGGATCCGGCTACTGTCGACTTGAGGGATTTGCATGAGAGCTGGTGGGATCTACCTTGAAGAAACGTATATGATGTATCTCTCTAGTTAGCAGAACTAGGTTATATAGTTTCGGTCGATATACACAGTGCATGATAGAGATAGAACTAATGGTTAGAACTATGCAGTCTCGCCTAGCTTTGTAGCCATTCAATTATATCCAAGTATGAGCTATCTCAAGCTTGTGTCCGCCCTTACACTGATAACTTTTCTTTTTTCGTAATATATTAAAGAATAACATGTTTTAAGATAGTTTGGATTAAGCGAAAGATTAAGATAAATTCCTCTTAACATTCCAACTGTAATAACCGTGGCCGCTAATATCTCTGGAAAATCGAGTCCCTTGGATCTCGATAGGCTTGAGTCTAGAAACGGACTCGACCCTTCTCATATATTTGAAAAGACGTTACTGTCCAAGGCTTCTCCAGCTAAGCCAGCCAGTCACTTATGGTAGTTGCCTAAGCGCACCTAGTTGACTACTCCTGGTATTTTTTTATTTTATTTTTAAAAAAAACAGCCCGTGCAGCTAAGACGCAATAACGGTGCCGAACGTAGATTGAAACAAGTCTACCCCGACATCTCGAAGACGGTGTTATGTCGCGAGTCGGTTGAGGGAGAAATCCCATCGCTTCCTATCGGATCCGGACCGAAACTGCTCAATGGACTGACAGTTGCGCACCGCAATTCGATCCCAGAACCATTTAACTCCGACCTCGAAGCTCCCGCGTCGAGCTCTGCTATCTGCGTCGTCTCTTTCGCTTGCGCTGCAGAGCCTCCTTCGGGCTCTGGCTTATCTGCCGCGGTTTCGTCAAGCTGCGGACTTGGTCCGGGACCGCCACTATTATTGTGACCAGCCCTCCTCTTTCGTCTGCGGCGGTAGAGGAAGATGGCTCCGCACAGCGCTCCTAGGACACCGAGCGCTGTGCCTATTGCTATTCCCACTACCACGCCCCCGAAGAGAACAGAAACGGAGTTGGAATTCCCGCCTGGCTCTTGACTCGTGTTGGTACTGCTGGGCATGTCGGATACGCTAGACGTCACGGCTAACTGCAGTGGGAAGACCTCGTGGTAGACGGTGGCGGCATATTCTGCAGGCGCTCCACCGATAACCGCCGTCCAGGTAGAATACTGTCCGTTCCCCTCGGGTTCCGTGTACGGCGGATCCCAGACCATCCACACCTCCGTTGAGCTCATGCCCATAACACTCGCACAATATCGCCCGCTGCGAACCGAGGGGCCGGCGTCGTTTCCGCTTGACACGCAAGTCCACGAGCCTCGCGGACAGCACCATGCCTGCGAATACTGCGAAACCCCGTCCGTGACGGCCGTCACGCAGGCCGTAGTCCAGTCGTCCAGGCAGGCGGACCCGGGGTACGCCAACGTCGACCACCGGGGCTCTTCGAGGGCCGCGGCCGTCCCCATTCCCTCGTCAATTTCCTTGTACATGTTGTTGAAGAGCGTAAAGTATCCATCCGGGAAACATCTCGGTTCGTACCATATCTTCGCCCTCCCCAACACGTTAACCGCCTGGCAGGCGAGACCCGACCGCAGATGGATCGCACCGTCGGCGTACGTCAGGTCCTTGCAGTAGACGGAGAGCGTGCAGTCCGCATTATGCGACGGTGTGAAGGGGGTGGTTTGCGGCGGTAGCAGCAGTGTTGCAAACTCGTCGTCGGCAGAGCTGGAGCTGGTTCTACTAAACGGTAATCTCGTTGTGATACTCGCCGGCATGGCTTCGAAATTGTTATATAATATAATTATAATATACAACAATAGAGCGAGAAGATGGCTAAAACGGCACGGTAAAAGGGGAACAGCCCCCGTTATTAGTACTGCTTGCCTGTCACTCTTGCTGGCCTGTGTGCCCTGTTTAGTCGCATTCCGATATACCATGCAGCTTCCCGTTTATATCACATCACACCAGTTTCTAAACTGTATGGTGGTTGTATTAGTATTTTTGCTCTTTAACTTCATAAAACTGGATGAATGTTAAGCCCAAAGTATGTGGTATTAATAGAAAGGACTCTCATTGCTAGTTGATAGTTTCCTAGATGGAAATAGGGAAGAGGTTAGCAGAATGACAAAACTATCGCAAATCATTACATCTGACCTGTCCAGCACGTAGGGTTGGTTCACCGAGGGTCAAACAGAGAACCTGTTTCAACATACGTTATACAAAGCCACAGTGTGATCGAAGAATATAGGTATGTTGCATTTTTCTTGTCGTGGCCTATTAGATGTCTATCCAGCCGAGGAGACCTAAGTATCAGATTAAGGAGGTAGTAAAAAGATAGGAAGAGCAAATTTAGGATTGAAGTAACAGCGACGAATTCTTGAGCAGTATACTCCTATACTCCCATCCGGATCAAATACTTCAGTCAGGTCTCGAAAAAGGTGATTGCTACAACACCGAAATACTTTGATATAGTGATAGTTTTCAGGTAGACCTGTATCACATAGGGTATAAGTACCATCCAGACCAATTAATACCGACTTCCCAAACGATAACCCCTATTTCCTTCACGGGCCAAACCCATCCCAATTCTCATCAACGTCAGTATCTGCCCCATTTCCCTATTTTCAACCCTTACCCATTCCACGCCCCCCCATCCCATCCCGCCCTTTAACGCTACCTATCCTCCTTCTGCCTCCTCTCCCTCTCGAAAATCCACAGCGCCGTCGCCACCGCCATCACCGCCCACCTCTCCCCGAGCACGCCGCTAACCCCCGAGCCCAGGAACCGGAACCGCAGCTTCTTCGTCAGGCTCATCGTCGCCCACGCCCACACCGCCACCACCTCCTTCCCGTCCCCCGCACAAGCCCCTCCCCCCGCAAATACCGCCCGCCCCGGCCCTTCCAACCCGCTCGGCGCGTCCGTCCGCAGCCGCACTAGTTTCCACCCGCTCGCCCGCCCCCCCAGCGCCTCCACCGTCTCCCCCCGCGACCGCCGCCACGCGAACGCCTCCCGCCGCTGCCCCGGCCCCGCCTCGACCACGAACGTGTACGGCCCGTCGCCGAACCCGGTCGGCGTTTCCACGCGCTCCTGGACGCCGGCCCCCGCCCCTGCCCCCGACCCGGACCCCGCCACGAGCAGCGGCGGTAACGTCACCGTCAGACACCGGTCGAAGCCGACGCGCTCGACGGCCGCGAGCGCGGGGCTCTGGTGGCTCGGGCCGCAGTGCAGCAGGACGTCGGGCCTAGACGAGGAAGAGAAGAGGACGGGGCGGGCGAGGGTGACGGCGTACAGGGGCGCCGCCTGGTGCTCGCCGATGTGGTAGTGCTGCCTGGATTCGATGTACATGTTGAATGCGGGGGGGAACTGGCGCGGGATCGGGGGTTGATTTTGGCGTTGGGCTGCGAAGGGGGGAGGGTCCTGGGAGCCCGTGGCTATCGTCGCCGTGCCCTCCGTAGGGTGCTTGGAGTACGGAGGCGGGGCGTCTTTGGGGTGAGGCGCCATGTTTTTTTTTTCTCCCTTCTTCTTGATTTATTGTCTTGTCTTGTCTTTGCTTTTCTTTTTTCCTTTTCTACTTATGGTGATGATCAATAATAAGTAAACGATACCCCCGGAATAATATCTGCTGACGTATAAACTAGAAGGAGGTTGTAAAAAAGATAAATCGAAAGTCCAAAAAAACTCGGTGCCTAGAAACCACTGGGCCGACTAATCTAATCTCTGGGCGTGAGAGTTATGCCCAGAAGTAATCACCAGAGAATCTTCTGTCTTAACATGTGTTCCTTCGCTTCCTTCGTCGCAAAAAGTAGCAGTGTTGTGTTGTACGTTGTACAGCCTAGCATGGATTGTTGTAACACATGTATTATTCTAGGCAAACCTAGGCCCTTACCGACATGGCATACCAGGTACCTAAATTCTATCTTTTCATTGAAGTAGATGGGTCAAGTTCTCGTGTATGAATTATGTACCTCCTAACATACCTAGATACCTCTATAGGTACCTTATATCTGGCCATCTGCTCTCACATATATAAAAATCATCGACCGACTTTCCAGCCCTTCAGCCACCACAATGCTTGCTTATATAGTACATAGTACACCACGCCGCGTAGCCGTGCTATGCAAACACGGTGTTGTCAGCTAACGAGGAGTGGAACGATAACCGAGATAACTGGCTAAACAATCCAAAGCCACAGGATCATACCATGTTTCTACTAGGTACTTATAGACTAGGTAGGATGCTCCTTGGCTGTGCTACGAACCGCAATCGGAATGATCCGCGGGGACGGGACGTATTTTCACAGCTAGGATCGTCAGCCTTACCAGCGCGAAGCTTCATGCGTTTACTATGCAGCTAGTTATGCGAAGCTAACTACCTCCTAACTACCAGGCTAACAAACTGCGCCTCATCAATATATACATCATACTTATGTCATGAGTGTAGTAATATATATATATATACACAACAAATTAGGTAGTTAGGTAGGCAACCTAAATTCAATCAAATAACTTTACTCATTCATTCATCCAAGTTAGGGGGAAAGGTAAATTAGGTGTATCAAATTCATACTATCGTAGGGTATTATAGGTCCAGGACAAGCAAGTAAGCACTAAAAGCTTCATGTAAAGGGGTATGGGCATAGTTAGTACAACCTCCGCGAGGCCGTATAGTGAAAGCTCCGTATTAAATATGTAGTAGGTAATGTAGTAATAATAAGTCGGCGGAGTAACCGTCTTCCACCGTCCGTGGACAATCCATTTGAAATGCGTAGGGGGTATAATGCGAGAACCATCCATCAGCGTCTTCAGAGCTTCCGCTCGCTAGCCTGGTAAAGGCGAAAGCGCCAGCGCTTCTCCGAAGCACAAAGGAAATCGGGTATTGAATCAAGACCCTTGTCGCGGCCCTGGCGATGTAGGTTATTGTGAATTAGGTAGATGGCCAACGTAGCGGTTGGCGTGTAAATCCGTATCCTGGATCCCTTCCGAATCCCCCCCTCCTCGCCGAGAAACCCCAATTCGGCGCGAATTTAAGAAAGGCGGCGTCAAGTGCCATGGCTGACCTAAAGTTGACGAACAACTTCAGGCCCCAATAGAGTAATGCGCCTAATCAACTCTCCAACCTCCCAAGTACTTTTTTTTCTTTTTCTTTTTCATCTGCTTTGATGACGTTTATACTCTAATTGAACGAGCTCCATAAATCCTTGCTCATCCTTAATAGGAACCCAAGAAGTTAGAGACTTCATAGCATTTTCAAAGTCCGAGTCAAGCAATGTAGGCCGGAGCGTGTCGATAATAGCGAGGCTAGTCGCGTGGAGAATCTCGAGTCCCTTAGACGATGGTTCTGGAGCAGCCTTGCTCGACGAGATAGATCCGCCGGTCGGTTCTGGTGAAGAGCCAAGTAGGATGAACACATCCCACACGCGGAGCTGGACAGAAAATGGTATCGATAAGTTGAAGAGAGTCAGATACCACTTAGTGGCGTACGCAGTCGGGTCGATACAGAGCTCCGTCTAGTAAGATGTTAGCCAAAGGTCAAGTTGGGGCGGAGAGAGGTAAACTTGAACCTACAAGTTTCGCGGCGACGTCTCTACTAGCTAACCAGTCGCGTTCGAAGTCTTTCAGAGCCTCTATCAGTTCCACGAATCCGGAGCCATACATTCGATTGAGACCACGATACTTCCACAACCAAACAAGCATTACGAAGCACGTCTCCTCGTCGAAGTAGCTGAGAAAGGTTGCCGCCAGCGGAGCCATGCCCTGGACGTAACCCGTATCGGGGAAATAAATGGATATGGAATGTAGTACTCGGAAAAGCAATCGCTGGCCACCACGATATCTCCGCCTGAACATAATATGTTGATTAATTGTCCTAGGCACGTCCAGATCGATTTGCCCGTCGTCTGGCGATGGCTCGTCGATGAGCCGGCGGTAATCTGCCTTGATGTCCTCCTCCGAAGCAAATGGTTCGCTGCTGGCCCTGGCGGCGGAACAGAGGAACGAATACCAAGCCGCCGCCCGCCAACAATCAGGGATACCCTTCCACACCCGTTTGGCTAGTTTCGGGTGCTTCAGATCGAATTCAAACACCATACCTTGGCCATCCGCGCCTATTTTTATTACTGTGGCCATCCTCCGCCATTTCTCAGTTCGCTGCGTCTCCTTCAACTTTAACTCGGCTGACTTCCTCTCATCCGACCCGTCCTCGCCAACGTTCGACAAGCCTGGGCGGGTTGCAAGGATATCCCCGGCTTCGTCTAATAACCTCCTGTCCCTGTTATGCGGCAACAAATTTGTGGCTTGACGGAAAGTTGCCGACAGGGCGGAACGGTGCGACGCCGTGGATAATTCCGACGTCTGCGTATTCAAAGATCGGGCTGACGTTTTCCTACTAGGGCCGCTCCTAACTCTTAACGAACGTGACGCCGTTTCTTTCCGAATCAGAACGTTTCGATGTTTGCGCATTGAAAAATGGACAGACGTCGTCGTTTCGGTCGGCGACGACGGCCGCGAATCTCGCGGTTGTTGAACTGAAATGAAACCGTAACGATCGACATCTTCAACCTGTACTCCTTCCCAATCCTCGATTCCCCCGGCTAGCTCATATTCGGTCCTTATGTCCTTATCTTGTGGCGACGAAGTAGAAGCCGAGGTTGGAGTAGGGTGTCCAACCGGGTCGTTTGATCTATGGGAGAGGTAAACTTGTTAGCATTATCAAAGATAAAGATTAGTTGGATAGTATAAGGAAACCGTACGCGTCATTCGCATTCTCTTCTAACGGGTTTTCTGCTGAGGGCTGGATACGCTCATCAATGGACGAGCGTCTCGCGCCCTCCTCCCACTTGACACCTTCCCCAGATTCATAGAGCGATCTCACCTTTTGAGATTCCTTCTCGGCCTCAGCAGATATGACCCGAACGCTAGGAGGTGGCCGGCGCGGTGTGGGCGACGTGCTGGTCAAGGCGTTGTCGGAAGCCCCTGACGAGATTTGGGCGGGTTCATCATTAGCGCTCGCGCTCGCGCTGACGCCGACGAACTCATCGGGATTCTTTTCGCGTGTCGGTACTAATGGGAATGCGCGTGGCTGTTTAACTCGTTCGGTATCGGCGTTTTCATTATTGATATTGCCGTGCTGTTCGGCCATAATGGCCAGATTCTTGTTGGATCTGCGCGAGTGCTTGGCGCCGAAAATGAGGCTGCCACGCTTGGAGAAGGACAGCTGGGTCATAAAGTCATCTTCTAGCAACCTTTCAGTGGGGATAGTGGTTGAAATAATTGGGGAATCATGGGGGTTAGACATTGGTGACAATCTGCCGCTAGGGGATTTAGGCGCCGATTCGTCGTGCCCGTTTAGTGCGTTTAGTGGATAGCCGGGGTTTTCATTTCCAGCGCCGTTTCCAGCGTAGATTCCAGTGTAATTTCCAGCGCACGGTACCCCCCCATCACCTGCATTTCCTGCTTTCTTCCGTAACCGTCTCATCTTCGAAAAAGACGACTTTGACGAGTTAGATCGCAAACTAAAACTTCTTGCAATTATTTTGGAAAAGTTAGAAGGCGGGGTAATTGGCGACGTCGGAGAAACGGTATCGCCATCCGAAAACGCTGGTGAAGGAGCGCTAGCCCTGCTGTTGGACTCGCTTACTCGCCCCTCCTGACGCGAATATAGGGAGGGCGATGCAGAACGAGTCGTTAGTTGGAGGGGTCTAATTTCTCCGTATTTTGGGATCTTTCCGTAGGTGAAAGGATCTTCGTCGTCCGTCTCGGTATCCTCTCGGATGGTCCACGAGCTTGAAACGGTAGTTGGCGAGAGGCAGGAATCCCGCTTTCTCGTATCCACACTTGTCCGAGGGTTGCTGATAGTCCTCAATGCCGGGTGCTGTTCCGTGGGAGGAGGAGGGCGCGGTGGCGGTATCACGATAGGAATACGAGCTGTATTACACGAAATAGGACGCGGAGGCGGACGACGAGAAGATCGAGGTGGTGGTATTGGTATAGGTGGTTCTGCCTGGACGGTTTGGTCGTACCGGAACGCTATCAACTTGGTGTCATCTCTAAAAGGGACAAAACTCGAAGTCCTGCTCTTAGATCGGACATTTGGGGTCTTGGGGTTAGGTGCTTGCGGTGCTATGTATGATACCGCGTGCGGTGTAACTCCGAGCATTGTGGCTGCTGACTTGGATGTTGTGTTGTGTCAAAAAAATGTAAGTCCGCTTGCGTCCGCAACGATTTTGATTTTCGTCAAATTATTGATATTGTGTTTGGTATGACAAGAAGAGGGAGAAGCTGCGAGTGTTGGCCAAGCAGGCTCTTTCTTATCCACCCCCCTTTTTTTTTGTGTTATAAAAAGAAGTAGTCCCTTGCCGTTGCGAATAGAAACCTGAAAATAGGTAATGGTGAAATATGTACAACACAACCCCGTGTCAAACCCGATGCCGTCCGCAACTTTTATACACACGACTAAAAACTAGTAGTTATATGTTAGCGTGATTTCACTTTTAGGACGACGAGGAAGTTGTGCCGATGTGGGAGAAGAGTCAATCAACAAAAAAGAAAATGTTATATCGAAGTTGTAGCTGTAAATATAGAAATATGGGTCAAATAGTAGGTATTCAGGAGACTCCATAGTCCATACCTACCTCAGGTTAGGTAGGTTAGGTAGTCATACAAGGGCCATTGGCGATTTATGGCTCGTACCTTCTTTTTTTCGATTTTCGATATTCGATGTTCGATATTCGATAGATGTGTGCAAACTCAATTTATCGACTTAAATGACGAATCGGGAAATTCCAAGGTCGGTAGCGACTTACACGAAAAGACGTCGTGGTTGCAAAAAACAAGCGTAGGTATCTATACTAAATACCTACATACATACCTCCTTAGGTAGTAGAGTGTATGTACTTATATTACTCATTTCCCCCCCTTCTTCTTTCTTTTCTATACAACATATCCACCAGCCTGGGGGGTTGGTTGGCTTTAATATGTTTTGGCTTGGGTATATATTATATAACTACCTTATTTTCTTTTGGGTCATGGTTCATCTGATCTGGCCATCATGCAAGCGGGTTTTGTCGTGGCGGAAGCGAATTCCATTAGCACCGTTAGGCCCCCCAATGGTCTCCGGTCCTACCTCCATAGTACTACGGGAGGACCGGGGTCCTATACTCTTTTTTTATCCCTCTTTCTTCGCTTTCTTTTCTTCTCTTGTACATATTGTACTATACCTAGTCTTATGACCCGGAAGGCGTCAATGATGGAAGCTACCTACACCTATGCACGTCATCAATTTACAACTTATAACTTACAACCACCATTACCGTATATTCCCAATTGGCTGGGGTCAGACTCCAGAGACACGTTTCCACTTTCTTCCCAGCCTGGCCCGCTACAAATCTTTGGGCATTGGTCAAAATCGCGGCACTTTCATAATCTAAGTGTAGACCGACTATTCAAGACCGAAGCGGTCACGCACCGTTCTTTTTGTCCATGTATCCTCGCCAAGGGAGTGAGTGTCAGGTATCTAGTAGCGGTCTACCTACTACGCAGCTACGTTACTTAAATGACTAAACTAAATGTACGTTACGTAGTTGTCAAGAAGTCAGGACCATTTATGCTGAGTCTTTTCTATCTTAACCTAAAGCATAAAGCATGCATGGGGGTCGACCCCCACCCCCCTTTCTTTTTTTTTTATTTTTATTTTTTTAATCTACAAGAAAGAGCCGGGTTTTCATATCCGCAAACTATGAGACCATGTAAGTGGTGTAAATAGTAAATATCTTCAATATGAGAAAGGTCTGGAATTCTTAGTTCCCTCAGTCCCGTCATCCCCCGCACGAGTCTCAAATATTCCATTACGAGGCGGGTTACGGCAGAGCTTCTCCAAGTTGATTAAGTGCTATACTCCTCCGTCTGTCCGCATCTTTGTACCTTGTTTCTCAACCGATAAAGTTGGTAGGTTGTATAATTATCGTTCCGTCTACCCTGAAGTGTGCCCCACGCAAGCTGGAGGTTAGGTTAGGGAACATGTCTGAATCGGTAAGTAGGACCGGGGGGTTATTCTCGTTGCGTCGCTCTCATTGGACCTATCTATAGATGCGAGATCCCAAGATCGACCTGAAGTTAGCCGAGTCGAGAGCGGAGGGTAAAAAGACATACCGTACATACATAGTACACATTACACCATCCTGTGTATTTTCCTCCACTAATCAATGCTATATTTATGAACCCTTCAAGATATATCGTTCTACACACACATATAAAAACATAATACATTCCCACCTATCCCGGCGGGGTAGAAGCAAACTGGGTAATATACGTCACATCCACAAATCTGGAAACCAGTCAGTCCTCCTCAACGGACGCACCAAAATAATCCCGCGGGTCCATCGACTCCGGGCCTCAACCCCCTGGGTACGGGAGAACAATTGACGTGTCCATTTTAGCCAGTCCGGCCAGTCTATCCCACGTCCATCGACCGCCACCAATTAAATGAGACGCGCGCGGACGGCTTCGGCGGGGTTGTCAGAGTAGATGGGAAGTCGCCAATATATTAAAAAGTTCGAACTTCAAACACCTCTAGGCTTACCAATCTCTATTGATTCCGAGTAGTTTTCGGATTCTTCTAAAATTAGACTGTTGTGTACCAGGTAGCTAGATATAGCCATATAATCTAGTATTGTTCGAACACTTCGAGTTTGATCCTCAGTGCACACATTTACTAGTTAGGTGCCTGTTACAAAGTGATGTTTGATTTCGTCGCCAAGCCTGAAAAAAAAATCAAAAGGCTGGTGTTTGGTATAAAATCCCTTGATCAAACCACCTAGGAGACTTAGTTATACTCGCTTGGATACCAGGTAGTATACCGGTGCTGGGGAATACCGGAAACGCGACCAGTTGGCAGCCGTTGGGCCTGCATCTGTCCTGACCGCATTGCTTGGAAAACCCAAGATACACCAGGTCTCAGGAAAAGGTAAATTCTATTGGCTGTTCTGGTATCAAACAGGTCCGTTGGGCAACGGCCGCGGCATTTCTAGTATTGAACAAAAAAAATAAAGCACAGTCAGATTGGTCGCAAAACTTCCAGGAGAGAAAATTTTTTTTGTCTCTTTTCCTCTCTTCCCTACTTTCGAATGCGTTAGGTACATCTCTACTGTGTATCCCTCCAATTGATATCATCGTCCAATAGTCAGTTCCGTCGTGTCGGGCCCTCGGTGGTGAGATACATTAATACCAGCTTCCGAGGGATTTACTGGCCCTACCTCACCCATACTGACACCTCTCCTGTAGGTGATATGCAGTTGAACCCTGAATTAAATAAACTTCCCCTGAACCACGCGTTCGTCCCTTGCAGCTTGCATTAGGTTTACATGCTATCGCGTTTATGACCGCTTCTGTTGGCGCCAACGCGACAAGACTTCGGCCGTGTTCACCTATTTAGTAGGTACCTTTTGTGATGAGTAGAACATCATGCATGCTGAGCTGGCCCGAGCTATACAGGTTCTTCTATTCGCCAAGAGCTCTGTGAATCATCATCGGTCAGGCCATCAGACTTCTTCATTCTCCCAATCCCTTTCACCAAATATTGGTCGGCTTGGATTACTGCTTACTTCGAGTCTATCGAGATATTCTGGTGGGATTGTTGGAATATACTTCCGCTCTCGCTCCCGGTTAACTCCTCCGAATCCGGCGCCGTAAGAAATAAGCATGTCTGTAACTGTTGGCAGCGTGAATGGTAGCATCAAGGACGGATCGAGATTGATCCCGTCTGGCATGTCGTCGTCATCGTCTTGGTCTGGATTTGGTGTGCCTAGGATACTTCCTGGAGTTTCCGCGTTATGTCCGTTATACGTGCTCCTGATAGGCGTCGATGGCGCGCTTGGCATTGGTGATGCCGTTTTTCTGCGATCTCTTCTGAGTGCGGCCTCTTTCTGAATTGCTTCGAGGTATTTCATAGCGCTCTTGGGCAACCCCTTTTCTCCTACTTCCAGCCGATAATTTTTAGCAGCGTATATCAACTGCTGTGGACTTAGTCGCTTAAGTTGCTGAAGCGTCCCAACCAAAGCTTCTAAATCATCTGAATCCAAAGATGAGAAACATTGTAACCATTGAAGAAGCTGTACAACGGGGGCCAAATGTCTACGTGCTGCCTCCATTGTCGTTTCTCCGGATGATACCGTCTCTCCATGCTCGTAATGCTCGGGCTGCCTATTATTAGATCGAGCCCAATCTTCTAAGACTGAAACATTCATCCTAATCTGCATCGCCTTTGTTCTCGCCAGGTACTTTCTGTTATTCATAATCCGGTTGAAAAGCTCCGCGCCGATCCAGTAGAGTAATTGAGATATGATTTGTGCCGTAATTACTGAGTGAATATCGTATAGGTCCAGGACGAATAAGGTAGATGATAAGAGTGATGTCACATTTCTGGGGGCGGGTTTGGCACGTTGCTTCGGGGAGGGAGGTCGGAGTCGCTTCTCCAGCGGCTCTTCTTTGACCTCTTTCTTTCTCTTGAATAGCTTCCATTCATGCTGAAAGGTCACATCTTCGAGACCCGGGATAGTTTCATGGTCAAGCATCGCGGCGTCTATAACTTTATCCAACCGCCTCTCGGCATCTCTGACTATAAGAATGAAAATCTCATTAATTAGTTCTGCGAGCTGTCTTTGGAATTGGGTTGTCGCCTCGACCAAGCCGGCGTCCTTTTTTAGGTAGTGTAATAGTAGGGTTGCGTTGGACATCCAAAAGGCCAAAATGGTCATGTCCCATTGATGGGCTTCAACAACTTCATTGATCTTATCCTGGGCAGTAACGAGCAACTTAGCCAATAATTCGTGGCTAGAATGGTAGTGGGCGTATCTTGCGCTGAGGAAAATCATGTTCGCCGGAACAGGCTTCTGGGACGGTGATCGCTGAGGTTGCATGTTGGTGATAACAATATCGAGCATCCTGTCTAAGTCGCTTTCTTGGAAGACAAACATTTGATCATGCAAACATCGATTCCAATCGAATTCTTGTAAGTCTTCTTCGAACTCATCCACCGGCTAGTAATAATAAGTTAGCAGGCATTCGTTCTTTTGGGTTTGGAGCAACTTACCTCGGGCTGGTCATCTATTCCCATATTACCCAAGTCAACTTCGAGGTCGCGTGCGCTGTCCATCATCATCCGCCGACGTAATTCATTTTCGGCCAACTCCTCTTCAAACCTATCTTGGGAGAAGCCGGGATTATAGAAATCGTCAGTGACCCCAGCATTTCCGAGGCTATAGCCGTTATCGTGCAGGTAAAACGACATCTCGCTGTCAGGTGCAACGAAATCAAAAGCTGTTCTTCCCGATGATGTTTTTGCCTCCGGAGAGGCTCCATTGTCTAGTAGTATCTTCGCGATGCCCTTATGTCTATTGGTCATTGCCCACATTAAGGGGCTCCAGTAGTTGCGGTCCTGCTTATCCACGTCTACCCCAGCGTCTACTAGAGCTTGAACCACGGTTTCATGTCCCTAAACGAAATAGGAAATTAGCGGTTGTAAAATTAATACGGGATGTGAACATGTTCACTAACAAAACAACTCGCATACACCAAGGCTGGTGTGCCCTCTTCGTCAGGCGCATTGATGTCAACGAACGATCTGGCCTTCCCATCGAGGATCTTCTTAACATTATCGAGGTCGCCGTTACTTGCGGACATAATCAAGGCTTTTTGAAGTATCGAAGTCTTTTCGTCATCCGGGAGTTTCTCATCTGTTGCGATATCATCTACATCACCAAAGGTTTTCCCCTCAAGGAGGTGGGCTTGCGCGGCGAGCATCTGCATCAGTCGCGTATCGCTATCGGGCATACTCTTCGTCAAATCTTGGTCGTAGTTGGGATCGTCTAGTGTTAGGTCGCTAAATTGTAACGGCTTCGCGAGGATGGGGCTCGTTAAGAACTGCGATTGACCTACAAAGAGAAATTGGCACGATTAGCATCCAGACAAATGTTTGACACAAGCTTACAGTACAGATAAGCATCACAGGTCACGAACCTTGCCATCCATCATACATCTCAGTCTCTGGAATCAACTCTGCCGATACAACTCTACGATCATCTAAAGACTTGGGGAGGTCAGCTGGGAGAGCTCGAGGCTTCGTCGACTGCTCCCCGGCAAAGCCCCCACCATCAGGATCCCCAAAATCCATTGCCAACTGGGAGAGGCATAGGAATATTTCCCTCAAGAATTGGTTGAACTTGTTGCGTTGAAAGGGACAACCATGCTTTCCAGGAGAGATTCTGTATTGAATGATCTGTGGGTCTTTATATTGAGCTAGACTTCAATGAGGGACGTTCGTCATTTAATAAGGTACGGTACAGTGTTAAAGTAAAATACGTTTGGTTAGGTAGTAACTAATGCACCGAGCCAAGCATTTAAGGTGAGTTACATAGTAAAGCGTTCACGCTAAGTCCTATTATGAGATAGGCTGGTACGTAAGGCAGATAAGATGACATGATAGCCACAATGGACCTGCCACAATTATGTCACTACTTTGTGGTCCGTGCGGCATACACAATTACGGTACACAGGCAGAAGGTACTCATCTACGAAAAAACATCTCTGCACCGCGATTATACCTAGTACCTCTTATATAAATAGTTCAATGAATAAATCATAACTGACATGTGTCTTCAAGATTTGCTTTGTTATGCACTATAAACTACATGTACGCTGCAAAAAATAATAATGAGTATTGGTATTGTACAAGCGTTTAATCAAGGGTATCTCATCCTCTCTTTCTCTTCCCTACGTAAGCCCATCAATACCTCTCCCCCCCCTGACCTTATGTAGTGGCATTATACTTTACATGGCTGCTGCAAGCCTTCCTTGCAAGCCTTCCCATTCCCTGGATCCAACGATTTGGACTTCTCTCCCACCCACGCCAGGTATCACCTTACCATCCGCGCCGGGTAGTCTAATCTGCAGTCTTGCAGCAGCCTTACGCATCATCTTCGCGTGGTCGGGCTCGTGGTGCTTCTTCCTGCCTTGCTCGGCCGTGAGCACCACCCTCGTCTTCTGGATCACGGATTCTTGCCAGCTGCTCCACGTGGCGTAGTCCTCAGCTTGCTTCGCGGCGTGGTACTGCGGCGTTGCCTTCGCAGGGCGCCATGCCATCTTGTCTTTCGGTAGAGTGCTCAAGTCGTACACCTTGGCAGATGTCGCAAGCTTCAGCAGTTCACCTAAAGCATCCCTACCCTCAGCCACCACAAGCGCCTTTCGTTGTTCCACAGCGGGAACAGTCTTCTGCAAAGGCTCAGCAAGCCAATCATACTTAGCCTGTTCCGTTGCGCGCGCACGTCTGTTGTCTTCACGTAGATATCGGACAGCAGCTTGTAAGCTAGCGATGTCGTTCTTAAGAGCATCCATCTCACGCGCTGTGGCCACCGCCCGCTCCTGGCCGGCCTTCGCCCTACTACCGTTAGAGCCGGTCTCATCGCCAAACGCCCTACTGTCGCCGGCAATTTTCTTCCATTTATCGCGGTCAGCCTCGAGTGTTTTGGCCTCGCGGTCTTGCTGTTCAATATCCTTCTTGAGACTTTCCATAAGCTTCTTCGCATCCTCAAGCTGTGCTTCAAGATCTGCCATGCGGGATGCCTTTGCGTTCGCATCGCGCATGCGTGCCTCAAGTGTCTCGATGCGGAGAGCGGCTGTGCTGAGGTTCTCATCGCGCAGAGCAATTGTACGGCGAGCCTCGTTGTAGTGTTCCTTAAGTTGTCGCAGTTCTTCCTCAGCATCAATCGGTATTGTCTTAAGTGCCTTGAGCTCCTGCGCACGAAGTATCCATGGGGCGGGGCTACGTTCGAACTCCTGCGTCTGTGATAGATCGGCGCAGACAGCTGCTAGATCTGTAATTTGGCCAGTGAGCGTGCGGAGTTTAGAAAGGTAAGTCGAGAAGAGATCGGATTCGTCGGAAGAGAACGCAGCCATGACGGTATTGTGAACAGCTCTCTGGACCTCAGGGTATGTGAACGGTTCCGCACGTCCTTCCTCGCTGAGTAGCGCGTGAAGATCCACTCCTATCTTTCGAGACATCTCTGCAAGCTCTTGACTTGCAGCTTCACACTGTTCAAATGCATCTCCAGTATCAGGGGTAAGAGCCAGCGACCTGGCTCTAAGGTCTTCTAGAGACCGTACTGCTTTGCTAATAATCACCTTAGCGCTACGGGTTTGGGTGATGACCGCTTCGGCTTTCTTCGCAAAATGCTGCGCAAGTTCATCTTCTTCGCCGTTGAGAGGCACAACTCTTTGAACCATATCCTTTGTTATGGTGAATGCTGTAGCAGCAGACTCCAGATGGCTCTGCATCAAGACCGTCTTCATCTGCATTTCATCCGCAAAGCTTTCCAGACCTTGCGAGATGTGGACCTCGCCTAGGTGTGTCATAAGAGCAACAGTGCGTTGTAGCTCGCTAGCACACTGCTTCTCTTTCAGCTCATCACGCCGGAGACCATCGATCCAGGTATTTAGAGCTCGCTCGACAGGCTCGAGCTCGTACAGAGCGCCCTCGTATTTGGCGAATTCTTCCAACGAACAATGGCTAATAGCATTGACGAAACGATCGCACATAGAAGACACCCAGGTGAGCTTGTCCAATGCGTCGCAGCCAGCCAATGCATCATCTTCGAGGCCAGGATGTGGCTGTCCGTTGACACGTTCTTTAACAAAGCCGTGTAACAAGTTCGCCTTGAAAGCCAACCTCCTGAATCGCAGCAATGCGAGAACGGAATCTCTATCAGTGTTATAACTCTCGGGCAAGAATAATTTAACAATCTGGAGATGCTGTTGCGCTTCCTGGGCGTCCATGCGCTGCAACTCTAGGTCGATGGTCTTGATCTGCGTCTTCACAGCCGAGAGCTGGAGTTTCTGGTTTAGATCCATCATCGCCTTCGATTTACTGTTGAGCTGTTCGGACTCGGCCTCATTTACGGCGTGAGACGCACGCATGTCCTCTAGGTCGGTCTGGAGATTTGTGACAAGCTCTCTAAATCGAGATAGCGTGTACTCCAAATCCCCAATGGCATCATCCTTCTCAGCAGCTCTCCGCGCTTGCTCAGCGATGATGCTATCCTTGAAATCAAGCTCATCTTGCATTTCTTTCTCGTTCTGAACATGGTTAATCTCAAGCTCGTCATTAATTTCCTTGAGCGCTTCAAGATCGTCAATCATAGCCTTCAACTCGTTGATGTGTTCGGACTGTTGTAACTTCTCGTAGCTAAGCTGCTCGACCATGCTCTCCGCACCAACGTTGTCGTCCAACTGCTGCCGGAGGTCCTCAGCACGGGCTTCGGACTCTAACAGCTTCTCCTTGGCGATTTGGTACTGTTCTTTAATGGCTTCGAAATCCTCAAGGTCCTTCTCAAGTGCCTTGATTTGTGCTTTCGACTCCTCTTCCTGTTCTTGGGTAATATCTCGTAGTCTAATGAGAGCTTCGCGTAACCTTTCATTGTGCCGCTCCATCTGAAGCCATCCCGCACTGGCCCTTTCTTCAGGAGACATACCCTGAGAATACTCGGCATTTTCCTCGCGTAGAACCTCCACTTCGAGCTCAAGCTCTTCTGCTTTTTGCTTTAAAGCTTCGAGTTCGGCCTTATAAACCTCGGCAGTCTCCTCGGCCATCTCCCGGTCTAGAGTTGCAAGCTCCATAACGGTCTCATGTTCCGCTTGTAGGGCCTCTATCTGCTCTAATCGCTCCTCTGCTTCCTTCAATTGCTTCCGTAAAGCAGAGTTCTCCTGTGCCGTAGCCTGAAATTTGCTCTCGATCTTCTTGTTAATGGACTCAAACTTATCACGTTGCTCCTGGATCATCTCTAGATCTTTGATCTTTTCCCGATCCTCCAACCGCTTGCGCTCCAGGACTTTCAGCTTTGCTTTCAGATCCTCATTCTCTCTAGCCGCGCTGGTGGCGGATGTACGAGCGGAAGCTGCTGCACTCGCCGGCGCTTTCATATTTGTTGTGCTTGCTGGTGCTTTAGAAGACGCTGTTGAAGATGACCCAGCAGAGGTGAGCTTCTCTAGGGCTTTGGTTCTAGAACGCACGGGGCTAATCGTCTGTTCTCCATCGCTCTTAAAAGGGGAGCCCAGATCCGATGTGTTGCCGCCCTCGTTCCCTGACAAGGAATCCCCTGAACGTACCCTTCCAGCAGCAGGGCGAGCGGATCCGCGGACAGGCGCAGTAGATACTCGTGGGCCAGAGGGCCTCGTAGCACCGCTAATAGCTCTTGTAGTAGATGACATCGATGGTTGTCTTCTAGAGCCGGCAGATGGTAGGGCTGGGGGCCCCATGGTGGTCCTGGTATTCACGGCTGGAGGGCGGGGCCTCGTTCCGATGGAGGAAACGCGCGCATTCGATGGCGTGCCAGTTCTCGAGTTCGAAACGCTCGGCGGGGGGGCCATACCAAGTTGCTTCGTAGGAGACTTGGTGGGAGACTGTCACAGCAAAGTCAGAATCAAAGATACCCCGGGGCTTTATCGATTTAAACTATACGCACCCTCCCCATGCTAGACGGTCGAGATGCCCTCCTAGGTACCGGACTCGGACTAGGCGCATTCAAGCTCATACGTTTACCCGTGGAGTTGTCTGTTACAGAATTCGAACGACCCGCCACAGAGCTTGGACGTCCCGTCACGGAACTGGGTCGTCGAGCAGCTGTGCCCGTTCGCGCTCCCCTCTGGGCAGGGGCAGCAGCAGACCTGGGAGGTGGAGCAGGTTGTAATATCGCGGCCACGGTAGCAGGCCGGACGAACATGCCTCTTCCCGGCAAGCAATCGAAGTAGCGCTCGCCTTGGACGGACCCGTCATTCTTCCCCCCTTCATCCTCCAACTCGATACCTATCCAGTCGCCCACGGCGAAATGGGTTTGTCCGACATATCGGACGATCGCATCGCGGCCGTCGGTGAGCCGAATCGTCTGGCCGACTTCTACTTCGGACATTCTAGGCAGGGGTGTTTCCTCACGATCAGTTCATAATGGACCAGGGCGATATTGGTGTTGGCCCTGAAAAGCTTGACGTTTTGAAGCTTTTCTTTGTTCTCGGAATTGGAAAGTAGAAAAGTACAAAGTACACGCGTTGCTTTTGTTTCGTCACGCGAATGGTTATTCATTACTTTATCGGGGATTATGGAGAAACACAGTGTGTGGGTGGGACAGTATTTAGCTTTAATCGCATACAATGGAGTTATTGCGATATCAGCCATTTAGAATAGGAGGGCACCTTACATCAATACCTACCTAAGTATACCCCTAGGTACCTAGGTACCTACATCCCATACAACTTCCAAGTTCCAACTTTGCAACCATTCTATTCAAGACCTTCATGGAACGGATATGAAGGGAAGCTCAAGCACTTTATATCAATAAGAGAGCATATCATTATTTATTTTCGACATCCCTCTAAAATATAATTGCTCACTATTGCATTGGGTTTCAATAAACCCTCAGCTCAGCATAGCTTCGCCCTAGATCTTCACTTTCTCAACCACCTACCTAGGTGCCCACGTACAACCTGAACTGAGACCTTGTGGAATGGCGGAAAATAAAACTGAAAAAAAGTCAAGTGATTTTATAAACTACATGTACCTCGAAAAGCCATATGATATGTAGAGGGTTAGGTACCTGGTATGTATGGCCAGTGCTATTCACACAACCTCATCCTGTTCCATCCCCTCTCGTTTCATTACTAGTACATACATGATTCCCGTTTTTCCCATACATGTTTTTTTAACGTACGTACAAGTGTAATCCATTACAGGTGTGAGCAGAAGAAGAATAAAAGAATAACAGAATAAAAAAAAGGAAAAAAGTCATATGCAACATAGGGTATTGTGAACCTTTCTCTTCTCTCGTCCTCTCCCCCCTACCCCTCCCCCCCTTTTTTTTTGTTGTTGTCTCTGAATATGTGCTGTAAAATCCATCATCCCAACGCCCGATCATTCATGAACCCCCAGTATCGGAAACCCGGCCTTGAAACTCCCGTTGCGCACCCACTCCATGATCTCGAACCCGAGCCGGCGCTCCAGCTTCTCGTCGACGCCCTTGCCGTCCGCGACGTGCAGCACCATGACGGCCGGGCTGGCGAACTCGACGAAGTTGTTGCCCTGGGCTTCCGGCGCCGCCTCCGCCGTCCGCTTGACGTAGATCGTTAGGTCCGCGCCCACGATCCCCCGCCACAGCGTCGCCAGCCACTGCCAGTGGTCGTCCGCCCGGTACGCGTCGTTCACGTGCAGCGAGCCCGCGTACCGGTCCGATACCGTCAGGCTGTACCCGTCCGATACCACGGCGACGGGGAGCCGCCGCTTGGCGGATCTCGGCGATGCTCCTCCTTCGGCGGCCTGGGAATTGTCGTTATCCCCCATCTCGTCGTGTGTTGTTGTACTAGTAGTAGGTGGTGGATGGCTAGTGATGTATCTGATAAGATCTTCAGATATCTTGTGCCATTTCAGCATCTTGGCAACATAGGTCGCCAGGGGGCTTAGCAGTCCCGGTCCCTTTGGGTGGCCGCCCTCTTCTATGCTTTGCTGACCCTCGCTCGTATTGCTATTGTTTCTCCCCTCTGCGTCTATCGGTCTCAGCTGCGTCTGTGTATCTTCCGTCCAAGTCTTCACGGCGTACTCTCCCGAAACAGACAATGCTTTGTCTACTACGGTCGCCACCTCTTTCAGCACGGCCGGGGCCGCGCCTTCGATGGCAATGAGAGGACCTCGCGTTTCGAACAGCTGTCCTCCCGGTGCAGGAGGCTTCAGAGGTGAGCTAATCGAACGCAGCACTTCCAGCTTCAGTAAGAACGACCATCTGGGTGGCGGATGTTGTAACTGGGACTGTTTCGGAGGGGCATTGGCACCATTTGGAATCCCCTGGCCGGATTGGATATTGGCGGGGGCACGCGTCTGGCCTGGCCCGGAGCTCACGGCAGGCGATCCCGGGATCTGTGTTTGTAGTGGTGGTAAGCGGAGAGACTCGTCAAAAGCAGAGGCGTGGTGGGTCGGCGTGGGAGCGGGTTGATACGACATCGAAGGACGCGGCGGCGGTTGCATGTGAGGATGATTGAGTTGGTTGAAGTTTTGCCATTGCCCGCCTAATCTAGGGAGCGACCCGGGACCATGACTATATCTAACTCCTGTTACCGGTGGTTGGCGGTAGTATCGCGAATCAGCAGAGGACATATAACCCATTGGCGGCGATCCGGGATTGAATATATTCGGTCCATTGAAGCGACGTCGTTTTGTATCTATTGGAGTACCTAGCGGGGACATTATCGGGTAATCATCATCGATATTATGCATATGCTGCTGCGTATATCGACGTTCATGACTGTCAAGCGACATGATGCTAGAAGTTGATCCGCGCCTCAAGTGTTCTGTCTCGATAACTCTCGGGTTTGGTATCGGATAAGACGACATATTAGGCACCGCTCTCGCGCTCTCCGGCGTTGCAGCACTGAAAGGTGTGGAAGGTGTTCTAGGGGTTGCAATATAACGGCCGCCGCACTTGGGACAGTGGCCAGGATCTTCACCGGTCGCCGGTACGGGCCTACCGCCGGCAGCTTTACCTCCTCTCCTAGGTTGATATCTGTAGTCCGGGTATTGACGCTGGTGCCGGATCTTCTCCTCTTCTGCGAGCCGCTTCCAATTATTCTTTATCTCCTCGGGCTGCTCGCGCCACTGTTCGCCAATGAGCTTGGATATCTCCGGGTTGGCCAGTCCCGGATTCCGAGCGGCGACTTGGCCTTGGTAGTGCTGTCGGTAAAGAATGAACGCTGTCGAAAGGGGCGAAGCAAACGTCAGCCAGATTCTCTTCATTTCAAGTTTACATCATGCTCATTTTGTTATAGAGTCTAATAAGACAAGTATCGACCCTTTCATTTCCGCCCCTTTGAATTATAAATGTACGGACAAAGAGACAACCGCCCGAGTTACCCGTCTCGGGACGGGGGATTCATCTGAGACCTTGTCGTGCTTCTGAGGAGGCAAAGAGGAAATAGCGAAAGGGGTGCCAAGAAGAGCGGTGGGGAGAATACTTTCGGCTCAGGCAGAGAGTGGCCCAAACTCGAGTTTGCTAAATGTAAACAGGGCGGCCGGCAGTAGAAAACAAGAACAAAAAGATAATATTTACGTACCATTACGTGGTCTAGGAACTTTGGGTGCTTTTGTACAGAGACATATCAGATCCCTAAGTCCTTCAGCTGTATTCGGTGTTCCTGTGCTAGGAGTATAAAGTCGAAGATCTTGGATTCGGGGTTGATTCGCCTCGTCTACGTCAATGGAATATGCTCGTTTTCGAGATTGTTTTGCAGAGGTAGTTGAAGAGCCACTGTCGTCAGGTGGGTTTGCTATAAAATTTGATCTTGCTGCTACTTCCCTATCATCGTGAGGATTCGCCGCCATCGTAGACCGAGTCTCAGCCTGTCTTATAGGGCTAGTTGTCAGCGTAGCTGAAGAAACTGGTGTATGTAGGGAAGACCGGTCATATTGGGAGGTAGAGGGAGAAGGATAGCGGCTGTTAGGTTCGGTCATGTTCTTCGCAAACGGTGGATAGGCCAAGCAGAGTCTGTCGGTGTGTGGGGAGAACGGACAGCCCAAAGAGCGGAGTCCCGGTTCGGGAGCATACACGAGCTCACACTACAACGACCAGCCAGGGGTCCTCAGGGGTCTGGCATCTGAAGGGTGAATAATCCTAGGTAACGGTAACATCGACGATGATGATGTGATAAGCTAACTATCTCGACGTAAGTGTATGTGGCTGTTGATCTGGGGCGAATACATGAGACATGAATAAATGGTGGAGGCAACAATCAAGGGCTTGTTGGGATTGTTTTCTTTGTTGATGTCCTTTCTATTCATAAGGCTCCAACTAAAGGACAATGACCCTAGGAGGAGAGAAGAAGCGCCTTAGGTGGTCAATGACCTGTCATGCCATCGGCACTACTACACACACGGACAAACCCAGTGTTGGCCACGAACAAAGTGTTTTGCCAGAACAACTAATTAGCTGTTAGGGGAATATGAGCCAACAGGCTAAGTCGAGAAGAGAGAGAGAGAGAGGGAAAAAGGATGTTTCTTTGGGACTATGTCTCGGGAGTATACTGAGGTCCAGTCTGTTGCAGATTAGAGCTACCTCTCTCTACCTATCTTTTTTCTTCCCCTTCCTTTGTCCAGCGTTTGCAACAGCTGATACCTAACAATTACTCTGCCGTTCGCAGTAGTCGATAATAAGTCAGTCATTCTGGTGATGACAAGAGTAAAGTGTAACAAATATACCAAGACAACAAAGTCAATAAGGTCAATAATCAATGCAATACAAATATAGCAGCCTTGTTCGACGTGGTCAAAAAAGAAAGCAAGGAAGTTTCCCTTTTTAACTGCTTGACATAACAACCCCTTAGTTCAAGGTTACCTTTGGGTACAATACACTGCCCAACCTAGGAATGCTTTGCTGCTTCTTGGTTGGAACGGGGTGAATTAACTGTCTCTTACGAGCCCTCATTTCATTCCCCTCAGTTGCCAACAACAACAAAGACAATGTCAACCGAAATTAGCCTAGGTAAAAATCACGTGGGCCCATATATTTTCATTGTCCGTACCTTAGGTGCCCAAGCTTTTGTGAAGAATCGTCGTTTTGCAATGTCTCAGTAATTATCTCTGGGGGTGGCCATCTTGAAAAGCAACCAACCAGGTTGTCTCTCTATTCATAGTATGAACAACCAACCAACACACGCATACATTTAGCAACTCCGAAACCCGTCCGTAATGTAATTTTCCTATCCCGAATCCCTAAATCTCGCAGTTTCGGTGCCGTGGCCTTGCGAAATTGGATTATTATGACAAGTCCCGTCCGTGGTCTGAGACCTCCCGTTTCTTAAGACATAACGTGCTTATGAGATAAACCCACGTCCTGTTTCGCCGCTCAATAGATCGGCACTCCGTCGTGCATCGAGGAAAAGCTCTTCGCACTCTGCAACATCTTTGACATCTATCTGACTGCGACCATTGACTCGAGCAAGAATGCTATATTTTGATAAATCAGTTACCAGTCCATTTCCAAGGGAATAATAAAACACAGAGCAGACCAGAGAATACATACCTCGCAGGGGTCAATAACTGAAGACAGTATCTGAGACTGATTCGCACGCCGTGCTCTGCAATCTTGTCAATTGCAGCATCCGTGATCTGCACACCTTCGGTTGCTGCTCGGATGCGTACAATTCGCTTGATCTCGTCGGCCTCATATGGCGTGGTAGGGATAATGAGGAGTCGGGCTAGGAAGTCTGGGGGAATGCCATGTGCGGCAACAACACCATCCGTACCACGGATGGTGCACATTCCACGGTTCGAAGCAAGCACAACAATAGGTGAGATTGATGACTCTAACGCTCGGTTGAGATACGTAAAACACTCGATATCGAGCATGTGCGCCTGTAGTAAATTAGCATACTGGCTCGGGATATGATGCGTTGTAGTAAAATGGGCAGTACCTCGTCGATGAATAAGACACCAGGAACAAGCTCAGCTACTCCCTGATCAATGTATTTACTGACGACTTTGTTGATCTCGTCTCGTAGCTTCTCTGTGATCTCCGTCATCTTGGGCTTCATAAGTTGGCCCATCATGCTCATAATATCCTGGCCACCTTGAGGTCGGGCGTTGGCAACGTCCAGGTCGTGAAGGGTAACATCTTGCACTATCTCCTTCTTCTTGTGCACCTCGCCCTTGGGGATAGGAACATATTCTTCTGCTTCGAGATCGAATTCCGTAGCGTATGCGTCTGATCGACCGACTCTTTTGCAGGCGCCTGTGTTCGCCTCAATGTAGATAACATCTCCAACGGTAACTCTCTCCTTCTGGATCGCTTCATAAATGCTCGGGTCTAGTCTGAGCTTCTTCTGGCCCCTTGCGCTCTTCAACCCTATCAGCAGCGTGCTGATAGTCTTTCCATAACCACCAAGCGGGTTCTCTGCCTCTTCCGGTGTGAGCTCTGTGACTTCACCCTCGTAAACCTCTTTCGTCTCGCGAACTTTCAATCCTATAGCTCTTCGGAAGTTCTCCATCAATACTTCGGTCTTCTTCACTTCGGTTGAGTAAATCTCGCTTCCGACAATAGGACAAAAGGGAATCTTGGTGCCGAGTTCGTGGCTAAGCGCAAGAGCCAACGCCGTCTTTCCGGTTCCAGGTCCACCCGCAAGTAATACACCACGGCCAGCCATCTTCGAAGCGCGAATAAGGTCGACAACGACGCCAGCAGCCTACGTCAAGCAACAAATTAGTTAGTACCTAGCAGCCTAGCATGAGTGGGTGGATAATATGAGGCTGGAACTCACCTCTCGGGCTTGCTGTTGGCCTACGAAGCCACCGGCTTGCTTCTCGGCTGTTCCATCGGACCTGAGGCCCAATCCTTTGATGTGGGTGTGAGCGGCGGTACGATTTTCGCGATTGTTGCCCTTAACCTCGCTGATTTGCACCATCTTTGCGAAGGGATAGCTTTGTTAATAGACGGAGATTAATCGCTATTCTAGGTAATACGGGTTCAATCAGCGACAGATCCTTGACTGATTATTTGAAGTATGTAGGCCCCAAGATCATATGTTGCTGGTAGCTTGGAAGAATTGTTGAAGATTTGGTGTCGCATTAGAAATTATGAAATTATCAGAGTTGAGAGCTTGGGTCAATGCCGGGATTGATGTTTGGAGCTCCAAAGTCGCGAAACTTTTCTGGGTCGCGCTTGACTTGACGTACTGTCTTTGATACTGTGCTTGATTACTGTATATAAAGTTTTGATAAACTAAACCGAGGTAGGTCCACTGGTCCAGACCTCAAGAGGTACTTAGGTACATACTATATTATATCTTCTAGGTAAAGCTTCAGGTAGTTACCAGGTAGTTCTTATATCCACATACCTACATCGAAAATCACATCTCTAAAATCACATCCTATCTCTGTAGACGTTTAAGTATAATACCTTCATGCTCATCTCCATCCACATTCTCCCAAAGCATTGGTGCACTTTCGTTATCAGCAGAGGTTACAACACCCCTTTCTGCTTCATTTTCGCAATCGCCAGTCTTCCTCGTCTCTTTCTTCGTAAGCACAACCCACAGCGCACTACTGATGATGAGCCCACATCCAATGAGACTTGTCCATCCCATAATATTTCCAAACACCCAGCGATCGAAAGCTGCCGCAAATAACATATGGGTGTAGTTCATTGCAGTTGCACGGTTGCTCTTCTCAGTAGCTAGACCGGCCGTCATGAGTACCTGCATGATCACACCGCATGCGGCAACCGCTACGAGAAGTGCACATTGACGGATCGAGTGTGGCATTTCAAGACGCAGATCTGGCTGTCCATAGTCAAATATTGGCGCAAGGGACAGAGTCGTAGCTGTGACGATTAAACACCACGAGCTAAAGTAGTTGACTGATATCAAAGGGTGTGCCCGCTTCCCGATGCATCTCAGTGTTGTGAAGACAACCGCCGCTCCGAGAACACCCAAGAGCGCAACACCGATAGCCTTTAGCCGCTCAGCACTTGTTGAGATGTGCTCCCCGCCGGGATAGGAATTGACTTCCGCTGTGGCATTTACGGCGGTTCCCGCTGCTATATTACCAGCCGCTGATGCTGAAGCTGCGCCTGAGAAGAGGGATGTCGGTCTTGTGATAAGTACGACCCCTCCTAAAGCCACAAGCGACGCGAGTTGCTCCACTCGTGTGAAGGGTTCATGCATGAAGATGTGGCACAAATACCCGGTGATGTTAGGGGCAAGAAATGTAATGACGGTCGCTTCGGCAAGCGGTATGTATTGGACTGAATACCACATACCGTATATACCAAAGAAGCCAGAGAACCCTCTTAGTACTAGGAGCCACCTGACATCCCTATGTCCCAACAAGCCGTGCGGTATTCTCTTCCACCATATATATGTGGAAACGCCAACAGCAGTCATACTCATCCTGGCGAAGAGGATCTGCATAGGATGCATGTGTCCTTCTAACTCCAGCAGACGGGCAATAAGGTTCATCAACGCCCCAAAGAACTGCGCTGAAAACACCAAGAGCGGTCCTTTGTTTTTCTGCCATGTTGATCCAAACCACTGGCGAATCCCCAAGCTAGGATCGGTATCACCAGGTTTGAAGGGAGGACTAGGTGACGCATCTCGGCCATCCGAAGAAGAACTATCTGATTCATTGTCTACGACAGTAGATAAGTTCGAGTCAAATTCGCTCTGTTTCTCGGCTTTGTTGACCGAGGCTTGGAAGTAAGAAAGAACGGCCTCTCCTCTATCATCGAGTGGATGAGTTTTAGGAAGTGATATAGAGGACGCCATGGCCATCAATATCTCCGAGGCACACCAACTAATCCTAAAGGTGCCAGTTCTATACTTGTCCAGAGAGATTTAAAGCTAACCATGAACGAGATTTAGAACAGTTCTAAGATGAGTACTCTGTGTGAACTTCTTCTTAATAGATACGCTAAAGAGACTGTTAAAAGAAAAGAAGGATGCTAACCTAGGTAGTAACTGATTCCGGGCTGAAATTCCGCCTGTCATAAGCGGGGAAAGGCGACTCATTAGCAACTATATACCTCCTAAACCTTGTTGTGGGGTTATAGTACTTACATACTTGAACAGCATACAACTGTATCGTTAAACGTTGGAAGGCTACTCACCAACAAGCGACTTACAATACTTTACACACTTTAGACTTTAAGAACCTAACATATTATTAATTTTGCGTAGTTATTTCAGGACGAACGTGTCTAATCAAACCCAAACCTACCTACAAGCAGTTCCTTCAGCCACAAGTCATGTTCTTGTAAGTTTTTTAATACTTTTTAGTTCCAGACTTTGAGGCTAGAGCTAATCGTAAGAATCTGAGGTAGGTAAATGTTAGTGTATATTTTGTTCCTCAGCTCAACAAGGATGCATTAAACCTGCTCTGCGACCGTCGGAGTGTCTGAAAAGATCATTCCATCACAACTAGGGCAATGCAAGCTGCTAGCCGATCGACCCTTTCACCCCGATGTCGCGGTCAGTCCAGCGAATCGGTAGTTACTCCGCGTGGGTCGCACGCCGGACTAGCCGGCCTAGTAGGTGCATGATCCGGGGTTGAAGGTCGCAATGGGAACCCTTTTTGGGTCTATGTACATATGAGGTAGGTTAAGTTAGTAAATCGCGAAGTAGGGTTGTAATACTCCCAATTCCCGATACGACGAAGTGTAGCACTTAGTACCTGATTACTACCCAGAGCCGGCAAGTGTGCCACACCAGTAAGAACGCCGATATGCAAGACAGAAGGCATAGAGATGAGATGACTTTATTGATTAACTTTAGCGTAGGCGTTCAGCTGCTTGAGTTGGCTTATTAGGTTCGAATCCTGACCGGGCTGTTGCTTTGTCAGTCGCGCTTATATGGGATTTTGCTTTAAGGCTGGAAGTAGAGTTTGATATGCAAGACTGAAAGCTAAAGATTTATGGATTTCGAAGCGAAACTCTTTTTGCAGGTGTTTGCAATGATCCTTGAATATGATGACTCTGGAGCTCTCTACTATATGTAATTCCACTATAAGTAAATATTTATTGGTGAGAGGGGATATTGATTATTTCTATCAAAAGACTGACTCTAGGAGTTAATAGTGATAATTGATTGCATACCTAGGTATCTTGTTAAGACAAAGCTTTAACTGGATTATTGTAGGTAGGTCTAGGTAGGTACCTATTATAACCCGAGTCTTCTCTAGTACATCTAAACATATACACGTAAAAAAGTTCCTACTTTCTGACTGATATATATTGTATCACCTCCCGTAGCTACCCAGGTGTATATCCAAAATACCCATATACCATTTTATCTCTCTCCACGGGGTACCTCAGCGAGCACCTCAGGTTAGATACTATAGGTTAGGTAGATGGGTAGGTATCTACGCATTTTTATTTCTCCTTTTGTTGGGAGGGTGGGGTGGGTGGCTTGTAGGATTGTGAGTTGAGCGCGGGAATGAGGAGTAAAAAGGTACCTACGGTAGCTAGCTACCTAGCACCTACTTATACTCCAGCCGAGAAGAAGCTCTCGTTGACTGCCTAGGCTGCAACGATGCTAGAGAGTTATTCTTGGAACCAAGATGTCTATGGTGAGCTATAAGTAATCCATGAGTAGCTCGATCGTGAACCGCTAACAAAGCATAATGATCCCTTCCGTCTAACAACTTGGCTCAGGATCGGAAGCGCTAATGGCAAAAGGTCCCTGCTTTATAAAACGGATACACATGTTCCCCATATTTCGGAAGTATGCGAAGCGGCTACCTTCTGGATGCGGTTCGTTTTGTTGCGTCTGGACCGGCGGATGGCATGGTTCACGATCCTTCGCTTCGATTGAAACGGCCCTTCGGGACATTTGCACTAGTGGCTACCGTCATCTTGGCTATGGGGAGGGAATCCGTATTTCAGGTTTCGGAAAAATATTACCGTACGAGATTATTCCGGGGTTTCACACCGAACGACTCGATAGAAAGGATATGGATGAATGGCAAAGTAGGAGGTATGCATACTTAATATACCTATGTACCTGATGTATTAGTTCCCAGCATAGGAGCTTGATCGAGACCATCGTGACTCTAAATGCAACCTGGTATTTCCGTGTCCCGCCCTAAACGCCGTTGCTATGCCTGTATTAAACACGAATTCGTCGTAATCGCCACTCGTAACGAGAAACCGCGTGATTTCACCAATAAAAACCCATATCCCCAAATGATAAACCTCTCATTTCGGCGTTCTCTTCCTCTTCTTGCTCCCGCCCTTGAACGAAGTGGCCGTATTCATAAGTTCCAGATCCTCATCTTCGTCGTCGAGACCGAGTAAATCGTCATCGCCGCCACCACCACCGCCAGCAGTAGCATTATCCTTACCGTGCTCCTTAGCCAAGGCGTCGTCTTCCTGGTCGAAGGTGCGGCGCATCTCCTTGATCTTCTGGCGCTTCTCTATCATGCTCTTTACGCGGCCGAGGTACTGCGGGTTGCGGCGGAGCGCGAACTCGAAATCGTCGAACTTCAGCTTCTGGCGGCCCGCTACCTGGGCGTGGCGACTCGCCTCGAAGCAGACGCCCTCGAGGAACTCGGTCACGATCTCGTCGAGCACCCGCACCGTGTCCGGGAGCGGGTCCTGCACGTCTCCGTAGGCGTAGAGTAGGGCGCGAACTGCAAGCGTTTTTTTATTCATCGGTCAGATGTTTTGTTCTGTTCTGTTCTGCTTTGCTTTGTATCGAGTGGCAGGTAGCGATGATATGACATATATACGTACTTTCCTTCGCATTGAAGGTTTCCTTGCCCACGTTTTTACCAGCACGGGCGCGAGGCTCCATAGTGAACGTGAACGTGAACGTGAATGCGGACGAGGTTGTCGTGGATGCAAAATTAACGAGACAGCTATTTGCCTTTTGCCAGGATGAAGTATCTAAATTTTAGATGCGCCTAAGAAATGTCGGTGATGTCAGCTGTTGACGTTGACGTTGACGCTGCGTTGATGTTTAATGGACAATGTTTGACGTAGAGCGTAAGGCTGAAGAAGTTGCACTTTGACGTTTTGGTACCTAGTTTGGTAGTTTGGCAGTAGTAGTGGGGTTTGATTAGATAATGTTAGGTACACCCAACCCCCTGACTCGTTCTCTATCCCGTGTAACTTCCCAAAGTTAGAGGCTAGAGCTGAAATTTAAGCATTGGGTACGCACCCCACTCTCCAGTCAGATCCCTGTCATCCATGCTTCACGCTACGGATTATCCCCCAACCCAACTTTGTCAACAGCTGGCTTCTAGAAAGGCTGAAACCTTGAGCCTCGCGAACGAGTAAATAATAAAACCAACCAACATTTGAAAACACCACACGTATAGCATTTTCGGTGAGCTGATAGATCAAGTTTTCAATATGGTACGTTTACATCGCCATATTGAATATTATATAATATCATAGTGATGCTAATACTAATTAATTGTCGCATTTAGTCTGCGCTCTTCAACTTCCAATCCCTCCTCCTCGTCATCCTCCTCATTATCTGCACAAGCGCCTATGTACACCATTTGGTCCCGGGAATTCTAGACAGGAATAAGCAGGGGTAGGTCCATTACTACGAGAGCTATGCACGTTGTTAAACTGCGAACGGGAGCTGAACAATTGAAATTATAGCTTCATGGGCATCTTCTGGAAAGCGGCAAGAATAGGGGAGAGACTAAGTCCGTACATTAGTCTGTGTTGTGTGTTAATGGCGGTAAGCTGAGCGTTTCTCTGCGATCGCAAATTCCATGCGACTGACTAGCTAACGACAAATAGGTCTCGATGATCATCGGTAACTAGAACATCGGATAGCTCCCCCCTTTCAGTGTTATGGTATAGTCGGGTTTGATTTCAGCAATGGAGTAAATGGTAACATGGGACTAGTGACGCGGTAATGGTGATATTGTTGTGAATGGACCAGTTTTTTCCTACCATCATACAGCAGAAAACTTGATTATGCATCCGCCTAAACCGTTACTATTATTGATCTTATTATGGCAAACGAGCAACACTGCAACAGATCCTGTCACATTTTGCCACCCGCCCTGCTGCAACAGTTGCCCAGTTCATCACCGTCTGTAGAACATCAGCTTGTTGCCTCCCCTTGTGGCCAAACCATGCGTTATCGTCGGCGATTCAGGCGCGGTGTACAAGCTTGGGTTGCCGCTTCGTGGAACTCGGCTTCTGTGCTGGCTCTGTCGGACCATTTTTGGTGGCGAGTGATTTACAAAGGCGATAAACCACTTTCGACTCGGTAGTATCGCTCGGGCTATTTTTCGACATTGAGTAGCTCGCCGACAATAATTGGTACGCTCCGGTCACAGTACTCTTCGGTGGTTAAACGGCCGCGAAATTCTCGGTGAAGATGTCTCGGTAGCAGAATGGGACGTTAGCTGACAGTACAGGATATTGATAGGTATTATACACCTAGATTCTATATTATAGGATATCACACTCGAGTTAAACTAGTCATTTGCGATGTTATAATCACGTTTATCACAGGCGTCGATATAAATTCCTATTGGACCACAGCGAATCCTGTCCCAAACTTGTATTCCAATATCTAAATAGGGGCGATGTTCAAATCCATACCGCGCGCTTCGGTTGAGGCTGATTAGGACTATGAAAACGTGCTGACGATAGCACTCTCTACACCCCCAGCCTTATATTACTGCATGTCAGATTATAGTTCTATCCCCCTATAGGGACTGGCTTTTTTTTTTCTTCTCTTTGCCAATGCAACTCCTATTCCCGAAGACCTGGCAGAACCTGATGCATAATTAATAGATGCGAACACAGGTTCGTGCTCGATCCTTCGGCCCCTCTCCGGCTTTGTTGGAGGATGACTTGCATGAGTATATTAGACCCAAGATGTTGCACGGCCTTAATATATTGATAGGAGGGATGTTACGTTGAGTCACGGCGGATTGCGAGAGAAATTGCTCCATCATGCGTATATGTGTATAATAGATTCAGAAACATTGCGGTAGCTTCTCGATAGTTTGAAGTATCATGCGATCGGTTTGGAGTATGTATACAATTGCACTATCAGTGTGTAAGACAATACACCTTTTTTTTTAAAAAAAAAAAAAAGGGGGGGGGGGGGGGGGGTAGTGTATAGGGAGGAATAATTTGGAGTCCTTGACGTCACGACTAACAAGACGAAGAAAGGGCCACGTCGAGCTTGGAGTTAATTCTAATGTCTGATATCAAATTATATCAAACTAGTCGCCTAATAATAGTACGGCGAACTTCGAAGGAGGCATATATTTTAAATCCCGGCACTAATTCCTAGCAGATAGAGATCTTCATTTAGTTTGCAGATGGTCTATCGACGATGCGGAGACTCAGTTCCCTAGACAAACGAGCAAATAAGCACATTCCCGAAGGCGTCGTCTTACGACAGCGCCTTATCGTTCTCGGGAGGCAGCAGGGCTCTGTGCCATCTTACCCGCGCCCGTCCCGTTCGTTCGTCAGATTTACGATGTGTCGAATCGAACTTCATGCTAAGTCAGACATTCCGGATGCGCCTTACACACTACTCTAGAGAGGTGGTCGGCGAGGTCGGGATAGCCGAATATTAGATGGGATCGTTCCGGTAATAAGCTGTATGACTCGCACAAAAGCTGAGCTCTCTAGGTACAACATCCTCCATCATCGACCGAAAAGTAAGACGCCTAAATAAATATGAGATGACATTAAAAAAAAAAGAAAAAACAAAATTGAAAATTGAAAATTAAAAATATACAAAGTACAGAGTCTAATGTGAGAATGGGTTAGGGTAGATTATTATGATATTCTATGCGTACTCTAGAAATGTCCTGGCGAGCTGCAGGCTCGGCTGATACATTATCACCGGAGGATGAACGTTTCAAGGGCTCATGCTATCGTACAACTGTTGATGTGCCGGGTAACACGATGGGGGAGTAGCAAACATGTTACATGCCAGGAACGGAAACATGACAGCCAAGGGTCTTAACGAATGAAACGGCGCGATACAACTTTGGACTTTCCTATGTTGGCGAATTGCTCGTAGCCGCGCTAATCCATGATCCTTTAACGGCTAACCGACGGACGGGATGAGGCTGGATTACGCATGTGGTAAAGCTAACTGCCCCGAGGAAAAAAGAGATTCGAGGCGGAATGCGGCGTTCGCTAGCCTTCCCGTATAGCGAAGTCATTCCGTGATGGAGGTGGTGGAGGAGAAGGAGAAGAATAGGACAAGAAGCAACTAAATGGTACGCTACCTGTTAGCTACATTACGAATATAAAAATGGGATACGCTAGATGGATGTATGAGGATAGAACTACTGCTAGCATTTTTTTTTTTAACTATTTTCCCTCGGCGATGCCATAGGTAGTCTCTCTTTGAAGAATTAATGACAGGGACGGTTATTACGAGTAGTAGGTTTACTTAACCAAAGCAGCCTAAGGTAGGCGGCATGACACCGACGCTAGCAGGCTTGTTGCGTGCGGCTTCCCAGCCCGTCATCCTCGGTACGGAGTATCGATGCTACGTAAAGGCCAACCTACATGCCTTAGGTACATGGCCTACATGCACTATCTTACCTGGGTAATTAGTGCGGTACCTACCTGACCCGCGGTGCAGATGCTGAGCTAGGTACTTGATAATTGGAAGAGATGATGTATATTGTTTGTATACTCGCCGTAAATACCCCGAGGAGAGAGACGCACGGATACTTTTCGATCCCTTCGAGACGTGTACCACTTTCTTCCCATATGCAGTCTCTCACCACTCACTTTTTTTTTTTCTTTTCTTTTGGTGTAGACCGCCGAATTCCAGCCCCGTAGAAGCAGCTCGCCTCACTTTTTTAAAGCATCCGTACTGAAATTAATATCGAACGCATGACCATCCACATGGAATGTTAAGGTCTACTACTATGTACATAGTATGCATGCAAAAGGTAACATGGAAATTCTAAGACGACGTTTCATACACCGCCAAGTTCGTGGATTATATCCCACCTCCTTCTACTTTAGCTAAATCGGAAGTTAACACATTCCTTCACGGCTTTTGAGAAACTTCACACGCCATGATCGCCGTCCAGAATCGTGGCAATCTCACGGTCACTCTTTCGAGCTTTCTCAAGGCCCAAGGGTTTCCCAACTGCGGCGCAGAAGTAACACGTAGTCCTGCTAAACCGTAGATATCTATCAGATAGGTAGATACTATACATACCTAGGTACCTAACCTAACCCCGAATCATGCCCAGTATGGAATATAAATGTATATGCCCAAAGATCAATAGACCAATCTATCACGAGTCGTCCCGCTCCCTCTCTGTCGATTCGATATTGGAGTGAACCGTTACCACTCTCACCGACAGGTGCATGCTGCTGCACACCACGACTAGTCAACTCAGGCTACAGGCAATCAACAGAGGGTGGTTGGAGATTAATGGCTTCTACGAAGAATGTACTGATCCTATTCTGATCCTGTCTCCCATCCATACCCGAGAAATGACAGGGTGGGATTTGCAAATAGAATCGTTGTCGATGGCTGGTTAAGTCCTTCCACCCTACTATCCGCCCAGGATACATCATGGTGATTTTTTTCCAATGTTAACTGCATGTCGCCGTGTTGATTTGGCTGTCCGGCAAAATAACTTGAGACAGTTGATGCGGTGATATGGAAATGGAAAGTTGGAGTGACACCCTCTCATAAGACGGATCAAATAGAGATACGATATAAATACCTACATATATAAACCGATACTACTAATTCGTATTGTATTGACCTACAGCAGTACCGTAACAGGTACACGTAATGCCTAAAACCCACATGGGATGGATCCAAACATGGAACACTAAGGTTGGTAGGTATGCAGATATTGGATTAGTACGAGGTTATGCAATTGAACACGCAGGGATATTACGATTCTGTACATAGTAGATAAAATAGCATTGGTTCATCAGTTCGATCTGAATCCAATTAGGCCTTGGATGGAGACAGATTAGTCCTAGACCTGTCCCAAATCAATGGAACTCTCAAGCCTTAAAGAGAGGAAGAGGAAGAAAAAGAGCCCTAAAAAGCGTTAAGTGAAGGTCTGCAGGAAGCACTATCAGACTATGAGATAAGCTAAAAACTGTATCTAACTGGTACAATACCAATGTACCTGCTAACCAGATGTAATACACGGCGCAAGGTTAGGGCGACACCCCCCTGAGCCACTTTCCCACCAGCCCACCAGCCCTGGTCTTTAAGGGATTTCATACCCTGACGCCCGGAAACGAGTCGAAACGCGGTTTTACTCGCTCGGGACAATTTTTTTTTCTCTTACAATTTCTTAGCTCTTTCAATTCGCCTCTTCCACAGAATCCACAGCTTCCTTTCCGTCTTCTAAAATTCTTCGCCTGGGATACACCTCCCACCGCCTAACCCAGCCCAGCTAGCCAGCCTAACCAGCCAGCTTTGAGTCCCTACGCAAAAGAAAGAATAGAAGAAAAAAAAGTCAATGCCCCCCCGGACGCTAATTAAAGACCGTCATCGGAGTCTTTTCCAAAGTCGGTGTCAGCTGTATGCGCACTACCGCCGATCTATCTGGATGGGCTGGCTAGTGTTCTTTTTGGGATTGGGATGGGGGAGGGGAACGAGGTAGGGAAATCTCGTTGTTACCATCCCTTTCCCTAGATCAAAAATTTTGAACCAAATATACCTACTACTAACACCACTGATGAGATTGATGAGATGTTCTCAGAAACAGAAAAATCCCACCTTCTGCAGGCCAAGGAAAAGTACAGGCCCCAACCTGACTCGATGTACAAGGGCAAGCCTCGTATGTATTGAGTGGTTATCAAATGTGGTGTGTAGTGTGTATGTTCGTGCGTTGCGTCTGCATGTTGTTGTTTATGCGAATTATTATCGAGTCGTGTTATGTGTGTGTATGTGTTTTTTTTTTCTTCCTCTCTTGCTCTGCTGGCGTTTCGCAGATCGTTAAAGTTCTAGTCGCTCTTGGACCCCGACGAGACAAAATGATTCCTGAGTCGTGGATGAGTCCGTCTATTGCGTCTATCGCTCTCCTGACGAGGCTAGCGCTCTCGTTCGTCTCCTTCGATTGTGGCGATCTAACCTATCTACCCATCCCTTGAACCCTTTTTGGGGGGGTTTCCTAGGAAATGGGTCCCCTTAGACCCCCTCTTTGGGATCCCTTTGGTTGTATGGGACTCCATGCCGCCACCGCTGGATGAGGAATTTCTTATTGATGCTATCGTCTCAGCCAGCAGGAACAAGGCGTTCAAGGTAACGGGTCTTGCAGCAGCGCGTTCCAGCTGTATGTTTTAAGGTCCACTACTTTTTTTATTTTCCTTTTTCTTTTTATTTATTTATATATATTTTTTTTTTTCAAAGTACACTTTCTTTTTTGAAGTATACCTACCTACCTAAGGTATCTAAAGCAAAACAAATGGATCCTAGCTAGGTACCTACACTCACGCTGGTGCTGGTGCTGGTGCTGGTGTTTGGTACTGGCCCCATTATCTGAGCTTGAACGCCATTATCCATGAGCCATGTCTGTGAAGCCATGAGTAATGAGCCACGGAAGGATGTGTTGTGGTGTGGATGCAATAGCGCACTGATACTTTAATGCTTCATAGCTCATTTCCCCCAGAACCCATGTCTGGTCATTCTCATTCATTGTCCACCCCTTACCCGCCTTGGATGCTGCTACTAGGTAGGTACCTACTGTCACTCTGCCACCTTGATACTTTAAAATACTTTGTTACTTATTCCATACACTACCTCCTCTACCTAGGTAGTTTACCTACTTTCTCTCCCAAGTCCAAGATAATAATAATAAAGTAATAAACAATAATTTACTTTCCCGTTATTACTGTTTTCAGAGGTCAATGCTACCCCGGTAACTTTTTCCTTAGCTCCCTTTCCTCCAAACAACTACTTATTATTGATCGCCTCGTTCCTGGCGATTCATGATATCTTCCTTTCCTCCTTTCCTTCCCCTTTGTTTCGGCCATTCTTACTTGGACTCCTACATACTTCGAAAAAAAGAAAAGAAAAATCAACAACACTAAAGAGTACAGGAAACTAATAGGAACATTACATAAACTAAAAAAGGAAAAAGGTACCTAACTCCCTTGTCTTCTACTCGTTCATCCAAGGATTCCTACCTGCAAACATCCATATTTCCCCTGGCGGTAGCTGCTAGTCGCCAGTCCTTTTCAGGGTTGGCTTGCAGCATTTGCTCAAATCACAGGCGGCCATGTAAGACTCAAACCCACACGCTTTCCCACAGATGCAACAGATGCCATTGCTTCACACCTTTCGATTCCCTTGTCTCGAAGTACACAACAGGCGAGCTAGGGGTACATCTGCAGCCATCCGCTTTCACGAGACCATTCCGTCCAACATCGGAGCTGTTTGCCTAATTCCCTTTTCATATAGAACCCGCCTGCTGACCAACTGCCCGAATAGTCGTCTTATAATACTTGGCCATCATCAACCAAGACCCCCCTCCCCACCCCCTTTTGGGTTCGTAGCCTGAGCTCATATACAGGAACGAAAGGGAAACAAACACAGCACACCGCTAGCCCGAAGGTTATCTTGGATTTGAATTGACTTTAAATTACTGATAAGTCAGACATCGGCGAAGAAGATGGGGGATCAAGGAACAGGCGGAATCGAGAGCCGGGGCGTCGAAAGCAATACTACGAGGCGCATGTCTGAACCACGCCCAAATTCTCACGATGACCAGATCCAGCAACAATCAACTGAGGCGAAAGCACCTAATGCAGAGAGCGATGAGCAAAAATACGCACAAACCGGTCCCAGGCATTTAATTCCCGTTCATCCTGTTCACCCAGGTAACTCGGCATCAAATGGCGGTCTGTCACGAAATCCTTCTACAAGCTCCAATGCTTCTAGAGACTCCCGTATTATGTTCGATTTTTCCCTTTCGCATCAAGGACCTCGGGCCTCTAGGCCGCTGGAGCCTCCGGTAACGAAAGCTACTTTGAGCGAATTGGATGTGAATAAGATTATCCATAACCCAAAGCTAAGACATGACATAAATTTCGACCCGGATCTTCATTTCAGGCCGAATGTTGACGGTGAGAAGGGAAGGAGAAAGCAAGAGAAGGCCAACCAATTCTGGAACTCACTCACGGAGCAGTTGCAATTGTTTATTGTTAACCGAGACGAATTCATGATCAGATTCGGACAAGGCGAAGATTGGTGCCTCCCGCAACTATTGAAGTCGGTAAAAGAGATTATTCAGACTTTGGTCCCGCAGCGAGATCGCATGTACCTGGATGAGGGCCTGAACGTCGAGCTTATAATGCAGCAATTCGGCAAGGGAATAGCAGATTTGGAAAAGTTGGCCTCGTGGTTGTCTGGAGTTCTCAAGTCCCATTGTGCCCCTATGAGGGACGAATGGGTGGACGAAATGTACAACCAGCTGACAAATGGCAACAAAACCAATGACATGGAGGAGCTTGTGCAAGGGATGCGCAGCCTCTTGAGCGTTCTCGAGGCTATGAAGCTTGATGTTGCGAATCACCAGATCAGATGCCTGCGGCCGATCCTGATCGAAGACACAGTTCACTTCGAGCAGCGGTTCTTTCTTAAGAAGATACGGGACCGCAAGATGGATCCCGGCCCAGCTCAGGTGTGGTATATGACGGTGGACCAGTTCTATTCTCAGGACCCGGCTTCAGTTCAGGCCTTTGGAGAAATGGGCCCCTTTTTCGAGGCTCTGTGCAAAATGATACTCCCCTCGACCGATCCGTATTCGCACCCGGATACCTTTGTTTTTGACGAAGAGCGCATGGCCAAGCTTCGATCTGACATGCTCGACGCGATCAACCTAGAAGTCTGCATGCGTCTATACGAAGGGTTGGACAGAAAATACAGATTCAACGATTCTATGTCCGGCGCGAGCGCTATTCCTACACCTATGCTAGCTACACCGTTTTCAGATGCCTCCGGCTTCTTGAGTTCAAGAAATGAAGATGATGGGAGTGAAAGCTGCTTCAACTCTAGGCCTTCTAGTCTAGTCTTTAGTTCCGCTGGTTCGGCACATTCATCTCCTCGCAACTCCTTCATTCTCCCCGTTCAATCATTAACTAGCAACTGCCCGGAAGACCAACAAGCCAAGTCGAGAAACCTTTACACCTCCCTTGTTGCACTTCTTCAAACTTCGCCTGCCAGTTCCCGTTCCGTGTCTCGGTGGAAGGCGATGAAAGATTCATTAGCTTTACAAATTTTCCGATTTACCAACGCGCCTGCTGAGGATCTCCTGCAATTTGAGGACGAGCTCGACAACCATCTTTCCGAGCTCTCGTCTCCGCTTTTCCAGCAAGTGGAACAGTACTACCACTATCACTTGCTTGTGGAGCTTCGACAACGTGTTAAGGACTTCAAGGAACTTACAGGAGCTGCTCTATTCTCAGTCGCTACCGGCGGTCGTCTACACAGCCCTAGCCGCAGTTGGGACGGCCCCCGCGAAAATGCGAGCCGGGAACGTACGTCGCTAGAAAACGCCATCCGGGGGGCGCGGGAAGAGGGCGGCGTCGAGGATATGGCGACGCGTTTAGCTCATATGGGTCTCCTCCATTGGAGAGTCTGGTCGCACCTGGTATACACAGGCGACCTCGAGAATCTGGTACCGATGCCTGACATGTCTATGGCAATCTAGTTGCCGATAGAGTACGCGACGAGACCCGTCAGCTCAGAAAACAAGTCTTCTATTCACACAGAAACACGCTTTACACTACTAGTCGTCTCGTCAACCTTTTCTTCTTTACGATTACGTTTTGAGGCGATATCTAAAGACGAGCCGACACTTTAATACGCACTACACTCCGCTTAATCACCTTCCACCTCGCATTTGATCATTTATCACTTGGGATGCTTTTTTTTTTTTCAATAATCCCGGAACTGGCATTATTTGGCTGTTTGTTTTAGGAGTAAACAGGCTTTTTCTGATATGGTCCTCTGGGGGAGGGGTTTTTGTGACAGGGCATGGAAAGGAGGCATAAGTCAGTTTTTAGATTTGCGCGGCCCTTTTTCCTGTTCTACACATCTATTTGTTGTTGCTTTTTTTTTTTTTTTTTTTTTTTTTTTTTTGGGGGGGGGGGGGGGGGGGGGGGGGGGGGGGGAAAAAATATGAGGCACAGCGGAACACAAGAGGAATAAGTAGCAGGGGGGTGTTTGATATGGGGGCC